TCCATCAGATCCATTTAGCATAAATCCAACATTTATAAACTGAGATTTCAAATGGACTCGTTGTTAATATTTCATTTTTAAAAGCTACCTCATAATAAAAAAAGACATCAGAGATGTCCACAAAATATTTTCAGTAGGACTCAAGTTACTGACTCCCAGCAGATATGGGTGAAAACAAGTAGAGGACTGTAAACTGCTTAGCTGTGGTCAAAAATGAAGCTTTCTGTGCAACCTGGACTTCAAACTAGTGAGCCTTGGATGTCTCTTGACAAAGGTTTATTAAGGCAATGTTGGTTGAAGCACATCATGATAAAGATGGCTGTTTCACCTTCGTCTTCCTCTTTAATAAGAGAAAAAAACCCACAGTGATATTGTTAGGATGAGCATATGGAACTCTGACATAAATTCACCTCTAAAATGCACAAACTGAATTTGTTGTAAAATCAGTAAGAATTTCATATGTTTATACTTTATAGGTGTTACCTAGATCTAATCTTTGCAAAGAATAAAGGATTTAGCTGGGACCTTTATAGCTGACAATCTCCAAGACTTGAATTATGCTCATAATTGTGTTTAAAATATGATAGAAGAGAAGCAGTTTTATCAAACACCCAAGGAATCCAGTGGCAAAGGAGAAGGATACAGCAGACATATGCAAAGGTTAACTCACTCCAAGTTGCAAAGGCTATTCACCACAGTATCAAACAGAATTGCTATTGCACATTGTTTCCTATTATGCACATCTCATTGCACTCAACATTTCCTGTAAGTACAGGAATCTGCTGAAAATCTTGTCCATTAACCCAAAAATTTAATGCTTGTCAAATTGCCACACAAAGTATTTTAAAAGACCATACTTTTCCTTAGCTTCTCTAATCTTAGAACTAAAAGATTAAGGTGATACAATTCTGAGTCCCCACTAAAAATTAGAAATGACAGGTTAACTAGCTACATTAGGAACCAGACATTGCTTGCAGTGGTTTCATTATAGCATTGTGCCATTTAGCTCTGATTTTAAAAAGAGTCCTGTTGATAATTCTATTTCCTTTTCCCTGAACGGATCCCGTCTCTTTTATACCAGCTTCAAATCCAGTTTAAAATAGGCTCCAGTTTATTTCCAAGTAACTTCCTAAGAAAAGCCCAGTCCCTAAATCCTGACTTATAAAGAAAGTTGCTGTTTAAACAACTCTAGCATGATGACTCATGCCATAAAATTTGTTCTGAATTTGACTAATCCTCCCTCCTCCCTCTCCTCCTTTTTTTCTTTTTAAGGAATTTTAAAAGACAGGGAAGAGCTAACGTGTCTCTATCTATTCTCTGGCATCCACGGAGAACACCAAACAAAAGAGGCCGACTACCTGGCAAATACCCTTTGTACTTCCCGATGGAAGTGAGATAGCCAATATCTCTAAGTTAGAGATAGCAAATGTTTCTAAACTGAAGAGGCAACAGTTTCTAAAGTAGAAATCTCAGAAGTTATGGTAAAATAGTTTTACTTTCTGTAAACTCAGCAAAGTGAATTTGTTCTGCATTTTTTCAATAATTCACATAGCAGTGTTTGGGATTTGTTGTTTCCAGTTTAGATTATACCTGTCAATAAATGTAATTCACTGACAAATAACATTTCCAATGCTGAAGCCACAAAGATAACTAATCTGTCAAAAATATGAGGGCAGAATTGCAAACCTTTGCAAAATATGATAAAGCAAGCTTTTCAGCTACTCTGGAGAATTACTCCCTCAAAATCAGTCACCAGATGTATCTAACAACACCTAAGAAACACAAGAAAGATTAATCACTGAAAGCTGTGGACTTTCTGTTTTATGACACCTTGAAAGAAAGACAAAATGCCCCTTGAAACGTGTCCTGTAAATGCAAGTCACTGCCCTCTATTCAGAGAAACAAGGTAATATTTAATGGCATGTGCTGGCCATACTAGATGATGCTACAGGTCTTCTGCCTTTAAATGATTACAACTGGAGCTATATTCAGCTGCTTAAACACTCTAAAGACTCCTCTCTTTGTCAAGAGAAATAGCCTGTTTTAAAAAGTCAGGTCAAAGACACTGGCCTGGATCAGAAATGGAATCTCTGAATGTCAGCCCCCAAGAAAGGCCTGAGCAGGGAGTTGATGAGCTATTTCACATTCAGGTCCAAGGCTGCTGAGATGCCAGGGCTGGTAGAGCTGCCCATGGCAGTCAACAGGGCTGGCAGCGAGTGGGGGCTGCTGCCCCATGTGAAGCTGGAAGAATATCACTTAATAAAAAGGTATATTGATTATTTTTGGCAACAGAGAAACAAAAGTAAGCCAGCTCCCTGTCCTCTGCCCACGGTGCCGGCGGTGCTCACTGGAGTGTGGCAGTAGGGGTGACAGGACGCAGTCTCTGGCCCCACCTGGCCACCCGGGCCGGTCTAACGAGGCTCATGCAGCAAGCCCGTGCCTTTGGCTGTGCATCCACTGCCCTCTGCAGCCACCGCCGCGCAGCATCCCTGCAGCGAGCGCAGCCCTGCAGCGAGAGCAGCCCTGCAGTGAGAGCAGCCCTGCAGTGAGAGCAGCTCTGCAGTGAGAGCAGCCCTGCAGCGAGAGCAGCCCTGCCGTGAGCGCAGACCTGCAGCGAGAGCAGCCCTGCAGTGAGAGCAGCCCTGCAGTGAGAGCAGCTCTGCAGTGAGAGCAGCCCTGCAGCGAGAGCAGCCCTGCAGTGAGAGCAGCCCTGCAGTGAGAGCAGCTCTGCAGTGAGAGCAGCCCTGCAGTGAGAGCAGCCCTGCAGTGAGAGCAGCTCTGCAGCGAGAGCAGCCCTGCAGCGAGCGCAGCCCTGCAGCGAGAGCAGCCCTGCAGCGAGAGCAGCCCTGCAGCGAGAGCAGCCCTGCCGTGAGCGCAGCCCTGCAGCCCCAGCCGCCTTTTGGCTGCATTCTCAATCAGGGACCGCGGGGATGGTCCGGTCCTGGGCCGGGCACGGTGGGCTCTCCTGGGCCGGGCCAGTCCCAGGCTCTCCTGCCACACAGCTCCGTCCGGATCAGGATCGCAGCACCACCTTTGGGCACGGCATTACTGGCAGGCAGAAGCAATTGTGTAGAATGTTCTAAAGAGGAAGAAATTAACTAATGGGCTACAAAAAAAAACAAAAACAAAAAAAACCCAAAAACAAAACAAAAAACAAAAACAAAACAAAACAAAACAAAAACAAAGCAAACCAAACCAACCCGGGAGAAAAAAACCACAAAAAGTTTAATTTCAGGAATTTCTCCCAGATACTAAGATGTACGTGGGGGCACACACACTCTTCTCTCCTGCATCAGCAAAGCAACACAGGGAAATTTATGAATCAGGTTTAAGTTCATATAGCCAACCTCACTGGGTTTTGTAGATGGGATTCCCAGCAACAGTTTTAGCACAGTAGGATTTTTTACCAAACTATCTTGTAATCTCCAAAGAGCACCCCAGAAAAAAGGAGGAAAAAAGAAAGGGGGGGGGGGGGGTGAAGCACAGGATGTCATTAACACATAATTAACAGGGCAGTATGTTTAGCCTTCACGCAAGGAGAAACAAGAGCACAGCCAACATTTTACATTGTCTCTACACTGTCAGTCATGCCGAGCAAACAGGTAGCAGAGCTCAAAGGAAAGCGTAAACCCGCCCAACCCACCCCCCAACGTTTCTACCCCTGAGCACCTTTCCCAAGGCCCTGCTGAGTCATCACCGAGACTATATTCCCAAAAGGACACAGGATAGAAAATGCTGGACTTAAGACGCTTTGAATCGCCAGTTTTCAAAAGGGAAGGCACTCTGTAATGTTCTAGATAAAGACTGAACTGCCCAGCGGTGGGAAGGTCAGTAGCTGTTTATTTCCCGCAGGAGCGAGTGCCCCTGCACTCTGCGCTCCGGGTGTGCTGCGGCCGGGACAGCGCCGTGTGCCCGGACAGTCCGGGGGCACCGGGGACAGCTGGGAGCCGCCTCCCCCCGCGGCCACGAGAGGGCGCTGCGGGCCCTGCGGCGCGGGCCGGGCCGGGGCTGCCCGGGAGCCGGGCGCGCATCGTGGGCCGCGTGTGCTGCGATTGATCCCCATTGCCTGCATTTCCTCACCCCTAGGAAAACCCTGCAGGAAAGCAGCAGCGAGTCAAGCTGAAAAGCTCACTGCAACTTCTGTGCTGTTCTACGCTGCGTTCGGTACAGAATCGCAGAATCGATTAGGTTGGAAAAGACCTCTGAGACCATCAAGTGCAATCTGTGATCGAACACCACTTTTTCAACTAGACCATAGCACTGAGTGCCATGTTCAGTCTTTTCTTAAGCACTTCCAGGGACGGTGACACCACCACCACCCTGGGCAGCCCGTTTCGGTGTTTAATCACCCCAAACTGCCCTAGTGTGGTTCTGGACTATGTCCTCTTGTCCTGCCACCGACTGCCTGGGACAAGGGACCAATTCCCACCCGGCACACCCTACTTTCAGGCAGTTGTACAGAGTAATAGGGTTTCCCCAGGCTAAACAACCCCGGCTCCCTCAGCTGCTCCACATAGTGCTTGTGTCCTAGACCCCTCAGCAGCCTTGCTGCCCTTCTCTGGACACATTCCAGCAGCTCAGAATCCTTCCCAAACTGAGAGGCCCTGAACTGGACACAGCACTCGAGGCGTGACCTCACTGGTGCCAAGTACAGGGGGATGATCCCTGGTCCTGCTGGTCACACTTTGCTGATCCAGGCCAGGATGGCATTGGCCTTCCCGGCCCAGCGGGCACGCTGCTGGCTCCTGTTCAGCCAGAGCCGAGCAGCACCCCCGGTCCTTCTCCGCTGGGCCACTTCCCAGCCACTCTGCCCTGAGCCTGGGCCTGCAGAGGCCGAGCGCAGGAGGCGACACTGTGCCACACCGGGTATTGACACTCGGTCACACACATCGGTGCCGGGCCGGACCCCGCCCGGCGCTGGGCGAGGCCGCACTCCGCCTCCGCCCGCCGGGCCCGCCCCGGCCCCGCCTCCCCCAGCCCGGCCTTAGCGGCGGCGGCGCGGCCTCCGCTCACAGCGCGGCCCGGCGGCATGGCGGCGGCGACGGAGCGTGGCCGCGATGGCAGCTGCCACTTCCAGCGCTCCCGGCTCATCTGGATGGTGGCCATCATCTTCGGCATGATCCTCCTCGGCGTAAGGAGCGGCGCGGGGAGGGAGGGAGATGGGTCAGAAACTGCGGGGTGGGTGGAACAGATGCCCTGCACCGTCCCCGTATCCGCGGAAACGCCGCTCCCTACAATAAACGGGGAGAAAAAGGAAACCGGAGGTGCTGCTTGGGCCAGGCCGGAGGAGGCTGGACAGAGCCATGCAGGAAGGCCAGAGGGAGGGAGAAAGCAGCTGGTCTGTAAAGGGAAGCGAGGCCGTGGCGCTGCGGGCGCGTCCCGGGCCCGGTCCGAGCATCCCGGACGGCAGCAGGGAGTGTTTGCGGGGCTGGTGCCCGGGAAGGGGCTGCAGCATCGCCAGCGCTGGGAGCTGCGGCACCGAGCAGCAGCACAGCTCCGGGACAGCTCGGGGACATGTCAGTCCCCAAGGGGCATTTACAGGGGACGGCTTTGGGCACAGGCTGTGCGAACTGGTGGTGTTGGAAAACACACGCGTTCAGTCACCACGTTGTGGTAATTTCCAAAAACAGACCTCAGCTAAGTTAGTTTGGATTACTGGAGCAGGGATGTTAATGGCTTTTTGATGTATCTGGCAAGTTTATGAAAGTCCTCCCTTGACTTTCACATGTCGCGATTTTCTTTCTGTTTGCACAGATTTTCTAAACTTGGGAACCACCGCTGTAAAAATAATAATCAAGGCACATCCAGCCACTCACAAAATAATTTTTGGGCTGTTTCAAGAAACAGAATCAGCTTTAAGCAGATTCCCTGTTTAAAATCATCACCTCACCACATCTTTGGCATAGCTGAATGTACATATAGTGAGAAGCTGCAGTGTTGATTTACCAAAGCAAGATAAGGCAGTGTGTACTTTGGCCTGGTGCTTACCTTATGTCCCCAGTGGCCTCTGAAGTGCACAGCTCATCCCTCACTGCCTGCTCTCCTCCTGGCTTGTGGAAATCAGCGTGCACAGTGCCAAACACTGCGGACAGCTCTGTGACAGGAGAGAAACCGGGAAAGGAATTCTGCATCTCTGGTCCTGGGATTCGTGCTCAGCTGTCTTCTGTGCCCTGTTAAAAATAAACAAAAATCTGACATTTTCTTTTTTAGGGGATGAAAAAAGAAAGACTGATCTCCTAGTTTTAGATAGCTATTCCTCCTAAACAGTGTACTCATGGTTTGGCCTCCTCAGGTCACTTGCCTCAGATTAACTTCTTCAGGACAAAGACAATGTAGGTTTTGCAGCTTCCATGTCTAATAGGTAATGAGCTTACAACCTAAATACCATTTAATGTGCAGATGCACTCTTGGTCCCCAGACAGCAACCTTAAACTCAGCCCCTTGGCATCTGCTATGTCAAGGAGTAGAAGTTTCCTAGTTGGAATCTTTCAAAGGCTACTGGAAGAATATGGTCCTTGGACAAGGTTAATGGAGTGAAAGAACTTAAGTGCTGTGAATAAATGAGCTCTGAACTCATGGGGCTCAAAAGTAAAGCTATATTGAAGGTTTAATTGATAGTACTTCTACCTTGCAGTAAGATAACTTAATTTTTTTTTTCCAGTGGGTAACACTTTGGCCTTCAACTATACCTTATAGTTACTTGGGATTATTTGGAACCTTCCTTAATTATTTAGTGGAACACCACCACAAATGGGTATGCTATGGGTAAGTTATGTTTGACTGTATCATTATTTTGCCCCTCTCTGACTCCTGTACTTAGTGTGTATTAGCAAGCTTTCCTGTAACCCAGTTGTTAATTAGATTTAAAGAGCTCTCATTTCAAGCTCATTACAATTAAGGGTGTGGGGTAATAAGTATGTAGAGGACTAGACAGGCTAAGACCAGTTTGATAGTTTAAAAATTCAGCTTTGAATTTGGCATCACTGATAGTTTAACAAGAAAGGGAAAAATGTTAAGATACTACTTTTCATGACAATTATTAGTCCAAAGTTATACTTGTACCATCTACTGCAAGTCTTTTTCTTCTCTAGTTGTTACTCGGCAGTCCAATTCTTTCTTTAGAAGTCTTTTTTATCCAGCTTCAGTTAAAGAACATTTTCTACCCTGGTCCTCACTTCTCCTGATCTACATGAGAAATAACCTGCTGAACAAACTGCATAGTGCTGTTTTGTTGGGTTACAAAACTTAGTTTTTGCTACTGTAACTAACAAAAGGGCCAGAAAATATTTCCTTGAGCTCACTGGCTTCCTGTAAAGACAGAAATCAGTAGGGCTTTCTTGTTTATTTTATGTATCATGTAGAACCCTCATCTTTTCTCAGAGCATCTTTTGCTTTAGCAAGGTATTTAATTGATTCTAACTGAATAGGTTATCTTTTTTTTTCCTACAAAAGCATCTATATAAAATTTGTAGGCCAAGTGTGGCTTATCAAGTCACATTATATGTTCTGAATCTATACACACAGTTGTTTTCGTAGAACTAAAGCTGTGAAAACTTAAGTAGCTCCTTAGGACCACTAAAAATACTTATTTTTAAGTAAGTAAAAGGATAGATTTTGCATGCTTAACTAAGATTAACTTGTACTGCTTTCACTAAGCATTTGCTTTTGGCTTAATCGGATTGCTGAAAATTTTGGAAGCCTAGTAGATGTTTCAAATGGCAGGTCAAGGCTTATTGCACAAGTTACAGTTGCTCTCATTTTCTCAGTGGGCTTCAGCTCCTTTTAAGTGTACACTTGTGGGGTTTTTTCAAGATGAAAAACACCCCTTCCATTCTAGGTTAAAATAGGTTGTTGCTTCAGTGCTTCCAGATTTATATTCTCTGCATAATGCATCTTTGATCCAACAGTCTTCTCCCTGATTTTCAGCAACATAAACCATGTTTTCTTTCCACCAGGTTCTGGATATCCTGGTTGATTCACATAGTGGAAGCCCTCTACGGTATTAAGTTATGCCAGTAAGTTGTTCCCTCCTCTCACTCCAACACAGGTTCTCTGTAAGGGAGTTCTGAATCAAGTAACGTAAGCTACAGACTGATTGTGGTGGCTCTCAGCAGCAGTGAATGCAGAGGATGCTGGTAAAATTCTTGCTGCAGTGATAGTTGCTGTGCTCCACAGCTGGTTCCTGCCACCTCTCCCAGTGGTTGCTGTTGTGCAGGGCAGCAAAACCAAGGGCTGGCAAATTGCAGGAGTGGCAGCAGCAAGGTTTGCCAGAGCTTGTCTGGCAGCCTCTGAACTCCCTGTTCACTGGGTGACACTGCTGCTCAGGAGGCAGAGGGAACAATGGACAGTGTAGAAGTAGTCTGATAACTTCAGGTGTTAGAATTTTATCAGATCTTACCCCGTCAGGATTGCGATACTGCTAATTACACACTTAAACAATCGCACTTGTATTGTGGGAACACAGCTGGGCACTTTCATTTGGGGACTCTTTCAGATCTACTTGCATCTGCAGGTGCCTGGGATAAAATCCTGGAACCAGTCAGACCATACAAGCAAGGCCATCTGAGTTTAGGTTAGGATAACCACGTACCTGGAAAGGAGTGCTGTCCAAACACAGCCTCCTTCTGTTCACTTGTGGTTGCAGTAGTTCAGAACAATGTAGATACTCATTGGGTTCCCATGCTCTGCACAGTCAGGCCAGTCTGTTTGCCATGATGGGTTCCCTCTCCATCCAGGTCATTCACTGCTGTCTGTCCCAGGCTTCTCAGGTGACAGCTCTTGGAAGCAACAGGATTTTGTTTCATGGAACGCTGCATAAGTTGTTTGGTTTTTTTTTTTGGTCTTTTTTTTTAAATAGTAGAATATGGATGAATAATTTCTGCCTTCAGATTGAGAGTTAGTAAAAATGTTGTGTTTATCAGATTCCTGTTTTAAGACTGAGTGTGCAAATAAATGGGTATCTGGGCCTAAGGCAATTCTTTTAAGTATGAGGAAACTTGACTACCAGTGAACATACTAAATGAGTGTATCGTAATTAATTTTACTAATGAAGTTTTACAGAGTAGTGTTAAAACCCACAAAAAAAAAATCAGAGATGGGCTGCCCATCATCATCTCATCAGGAGTGCTGCTTTAGATTACCTAGCACTTGTACTTCTGTGAGCACCAAACACCATTTACTTTTACTTATGTAAAAGTTGTGTCCACTTGGCAACATCACAAAGGAGGCACAAAGAACAGTGTGAGGACTCAGATACAAATTTGTTCATCAGCAGTAGTACTGTCATTGGCTCTTTGCCTGTATTGCTGCACATGGTCTATTCATTAAGCTTGTCTTGTAGCAACAGGTAAATTTCCTAAGCCCTTGTTCTCCAGGTTTTGCACTAATTTGAAAACACTGCAGCTGGGATTATAAACAAAAAAGCCTCAGCTATGGAATTGTTTACAGGAAATGTGAAACCTCTTGGGTTTGCTGTTGTGTTTATACTTGTTCCTTTCAGTAGGAGTACTTCTCAAGAACAATGGAGGAGAAAATGACATTTTCTGTAACATACAGAAAAGGTCATCTATGTTATATTGAAACTAACTATCATAGAACGGTCTCTTCTCCATAAATTAAGTGAAGTGCCTTCAGCCCTGTTACCTGTCTTTGTCTAGCCACAAACTCAGGTACCAGTGTTTTTCCATCCTCCATCACACAGTCACTGTCAGGTCTCTGCCCTGCCAGCATAGTCTCCCTTGACTAACACAGTCAGCAAGAAATTATATTCAGACTTGTGTGTTAAGATCAATATTAAGCTACTCCAGTTTCTTGTTTCTTTGTACACAAATTTCTGGGATAAGTCATTTCAAATAGGACAGATGGAGATTGCAATTTATATATCATTGAGGAAATTGCATGTATAGAATGTCTGAAAGAACTTTTGTTCAACAAATAGCTTAAAATCCTAAAACCACAAGAACTGGTATGTTTAGTTAGCACAAAAAATGTCTCAGTAGATGGAGATGAATGTGCTGAACTGAAATGTTCTAATCCAGTCTGAATCTCAAGGATGGGTAGAGATAGCTTACCTTACTTTGTAAGTACCAGTACAGCCTAGAGGAGCATAAGTTTTTTGACACATTTTGTGCTTTTTTTACAGAGCCAAAGGAATCACTGACCCAGCTGTTCAGTTTCAGTGGTTTGTTCAGACCCTTTTATTTGGATACGCTTCCTTCGGTCTCCTGGTGTCTTACAAGCCTGCAGACAAGAAGCAGTACTAGAAGACAATGCAAGAGGTCACCTCTCACATACCTGATCTCATTTTTCTGAAAAGACCCCCATATACATGTCTAGGTGCTATAATTAGCTAAATTACATTCCTGCTGCATGATGCAGTGCCCTTCTACCCAAACAGCTCTCCTCTTACTAAGCAACACCATTAAAATTCACAGGGCCCTGTGGATAGTTCAGTAGAAAATCAACTCTTCAGTCTTAGCACTGCCAAATTTTAATCCTATTTGTTATGCAAGAAGCCAGAAGTTGCTCCTGTGCAGATTTTGACATGTGTACTCTGTCACTGACAGCTGGTAGCAGTGGCTGATAAATCACTTTTTCATTGTTCTACAACAGGGAGGGTTATTGACAGCCACAAGGCAGCTTGCACCTGTTTTGTAATAGGATTTAAATTTACCTATGTTTTCTCTATGGGACTGACACTGTTGTTAAAGCCTGCTCTTTGCACCTTGTTTTGTCTGCTTACTTTTTTTCCACAGAGGACAGACCACTGTACTGCTGCAGGCACATTGAAAAGACCAGGTCTCAGCTCAGGATGAGGGACAGTGAGCTTGGATACATGAAGCACTTTAACTTGGTTTAATATTAGTGCCTTACAATTAATGCAGCATGACCTCATCTTTGTAGTGAAGATTTTAAGTTATGAGTTATTGTCATATAAAGTAGCTTTGAGGGCAGCTTTTTTGAGAAGTGATTTATTACCTAAAGGAAAAAAAATATCAATCAAAAATCTAGCTGAAAAGTTGATATTTGGCAATGAAATTAGATGCAGTGAATAAACATACACCACTGGTTCCCAGATGCTGGTCTTTAAAACCTAAGGTTGAGAGACCATCATAAGCACATCTCAAGAGTATTTCCTGTATGTGTAGTGAGTCTTCCATCAGATTGTCTTTTACTTTTGAATATTTGAACAAGAATTTAGCCTGTGTAGTTTTAGCACTTTTAAAAGGAATAACTATTTAAAGTACTAACTCTGGTGTGGGGAGAAGTTTTACCATGCCACTTGCCATGATACTGTTGTGGAAGAAGGGGTAAGAAAAGGTTGTTCTTTAACCTCCAAGAGCTCCACAAGGTGGTAACAAGTAACTTTGTGCAGTACCTACAGGCTGTAACACTTCTATACGGGAAGCCTTATTCAAGCACAGATACATAAAGTTTTTGCTTTCAGTGGGTACTAAAAGCATGGAGAACTGAAGGGTTTGAAATGGTGGTTTGTTTGTCTTTTGGGTGGTGTTGTTGTTGTCTAATAGCAAACTGTTTAACTTAAATATTTTATAGAGAAGTAAAAACTCATTTAGTGACTAGAAATCCAACAGCAATGTCAAGAGCCTGAGCTACGTTTTACTGTGTAACCTTTTGTCTTAGTCTGTGACCCTGGAATAAAGATTTTAAAAAAGTGAAGAAGTTGTTTTTAATACAGCCTAGAAATAAAATGCTCATACAAAATACATAGACACCTTCCTGACACCAGGATCAGTGTTCACACTTGGAACATGCAGGATCAGCTTTCCAGAGTAATTCCCATCACTGATACTACACTGCCTTCCCCTCCCAGGCCAGGCTGCACTCCAGGCACTGCTCAGGCTCAGTCCCAGCCCTTTCCACTGGGCTCTGGAGTGGCTACAGGCAAATCACAGCTCTGACAAGTTATCCACATCCTGTCAGACTCCCCCTAATTAGACAGGCGGTGGCAAAGCTTCTTCAGTGCAGCCCAAGGAAGCTACAGTAGAAAAAAACATCTACTGCCTTAGTTGAAAAAAATTACCAAGTTAGAACAAGTTTTAGCCAGGTACTGGCATCAGCCCCATTTTTTGAAGCCTCTCTGGGATTTTTGTTTGGCATGACAATTTTCAGGAGCTTTCTCTGTGGAGGTTGCTGGGCATTGCTTACCAAAGAATCTAGAAATGCAACTCCCAGGTATTCACCCACCTTCAGACACTTTCTCTCCCCAGCCTTTGCTTCACAGCAGTTCAGTTTTAACATTTGGTTAAAAAAACCACAAAATACCCCCAAAAATAAAAGCCCAAACAGAAACCAACCAGTGTTTGCTGTCAGCCTCTGTCAGAGCTGTAAATGCCTGTTTGCTGCAGTTTTGGAGGCTTCACAATGCAATCCCAACTGCAAACCTGAGGAGCCTGGGACAGGTAATGCTGACTGGCCATGAGGAAAAGGAGCAAACCCACAGCATGACAAGACTGAAAATAATATTGAGATATCATTTCTGAGTAAGTGTTTATAGTGCCCTTAACAGCACAGTGAGATAAACATACCCTTAATATGTGACAAAATTATTTTTAAAAGCCAGTAGGAGCATGAATACATGCTCACTTGTAGGCACCTCACTCAGCTCACAAAGACACATTCCTGGCTTTGTCAGGCTCCCTGGAAATGCTGCTGGTTATACCAGGCATAAGCATTTCTCCAGGCTAGTCCTAGTAATAAAGGATTACTCCTAATCACTTAGAGCAACTCCACTGCAATCAAAACGTCCTTTCCACAACAGAAGGGCAGAGCAACACAAGTGCACCTTCTGTTTCTAAAGGCTGGGTGTCAAATCACCTTCATCAGCACCCAACCCACCCTGCTTGCCAAAGGAAAATACTTGCAAATTCACTGTAACAAAATATTTCAAAATATTGTTTCCCATTGAAAGGAAACCCCAGTGAAACATACAGAAGAGCTTTTACTGTTGGAAAAGACCACTAAATAAGAAGGCAAATCACCAGGAAAGCTAGGATTAATAAAGGTTTTTCAGAATGGATATTTCTGCCAATTTGGCTGGTCACAGGACTGAAAAATAAACACTTTAGACATCCATTTCAAATTGGAAAGAAGAAAAAACCAACCCTTGCTATGAAAGCTAAGTGCAAGACTGGGTATGCATTATATTAACAACGTAAAGTACATGCCAAGAAAATTTAAAAAGCAACCATGCCTGTTTTTTCTAGACATATTAAAAACCACCCCCATTCTGTATTTATTTGGCCTGCATTGGTGATCAAAAGGAATAATTTCATACAACTCAGAACCACCTCACTTAAAACAGCACTTTTATGCTGTGATTGCTTGGTATCTTTGTTGCATAAGAAAACAAATAAACCACCCAGATCCATTTCACTCTTCAATCATAATATATGGAAACAAGTGTCATTTACTCCTTACAGTCAGGTTATCTAGATCAGCATGTTTGGCAAATCATTGCTCAAATCAAGCTCTGTTGAGGAGATCTGGCTGTGTAGATCAGGACATGCAGCATCAGCTCAGAAACACTGCAGAGCCTGGACAGAAGCAGTGAGGGGTCTCCCACCCATTAAGAACTACTTCTAAAGCTTTCAGGGCTGTAGCTCATTTTTGTCAGGGAGTGATGAAAAACTTTTCTCAGAATCTCAGTACGTTGTCTTACTTTGCCTGTTTCATGCTGACCTAGCATGTTCTAAACACAACAGGAGTTGACTGAGCCAGACTGGAAATACCAAGTGCTGGTTAATTAGGGACATTTAATTTGCTCTGGGGCTGGGTCCCCTGCCGAGCAGCAGAGCCTGGGGGAGCTGGGGGAATGGCCCCCTTGGTCACTGCCACAGTGAATTGGAGCCCTACAGGCAGGTCCCGCAGTCTGATGTCTGGGGGCATTCTGGTGCAGTCCCTTTGTGCAAGAGCTACATGAACAGCTCAAGAAATGACCATAGCTTGTTGAAAGCAAAAGAAACAAAATCCCTCAGTATTCCCTTTCCTCCTGCTTTTCAGAAGAGCAGTAATAATATGGCACAATCCACATACTGTGCCAGACCTTACACAGCCCCTGCAACTCCAAACCTACAGCACATGCATGAGGGGAAGGAGGAGGGGAGAGGAGGAAAGAGAGGTGTAAGGAACATTATTATATCATTTATCAGCATTCTTTGAGACCATTTTCACAAAGGAAAAGCACTCAGGTGCCCCTTGTGGGAATACACAGGGTGACCAGTTTACTAAGTTTAGCAATTACACAATTTTAAATGTCCTTCTGAAGACACTCTAGGTCTCTTATCAAAAGGAAAACCATGTCCTTCTCCAAAATATCACAAGTGTGAAGGATAGGGATTTTCACAGTTGCAATCTGCCCCTGCACCCCCACACCAGGCAAGGAAACCAGAAGTAAATCAGAGTGCCTGCATTTAGAGGAGCTGTCAGACATCAGCAGCACAGGACAAGCCCCCTGTATCCTTTGTGTGGGTGCACTCAGATCTGACTGACCTGGCTCTGTCCTTAAGGACTCTTGGTTTCTTTAGACTGACAGGCTGTATGGGATGTTGATTATTATTGACATACTTCACAACATTCATATTTGATTGGAATATTTTCCAAATACTGGCACCAGTTTTTGCTGCAGCTTTAAAAAAATAAATAAGTGCTTTTGAATAATGGGAAATTCATCAGCTCAGGAAGGCACAACGTGCTGAAGGATTCCTCCTCCTCTGAGATGGAGCAAAAGTTTGGGAGCACATGAAAGCAAAGATTTGTAATAGAAGAAAACTCTAAAAACTTTAACACTCTATACATGACAGAATGCTTGCAGTTAAACAAACTGCAGACAAAGTGACAGGAGAACCAAAGCCATCCAATAGATGACTGGCAGGAATTACAGTCCAGCCCCAGAGTGTTGCAGTTTACTTTTCCATTCAATAAACCACGTGCCTATGTTTGGATCTAGCAAAAGTTAAACAATAAGATGCCAAATGCACTTACTGTGTTGTAGGATGGGGAGTTTGTGAATCTCCCAAAAGCTGCAGGCCAGAAGGCAAGGTGCTGCCTGTGAGGACATGCCACCTACATGGGAAGATAAACTGCTCCTGGTGATGCAAAAACATGTACTGGCAGAGATTTAAATGTTAATCCCCAGCTAACAGGACCTGGCTGAAAAAATTAGGGAATTAGTGTGGGAAGAGATTTTATTTCAATTTAAGATGCACCTTGTTTGCAGCAGTCCTGGGAAGCAGCTGTGCTGTGCCCCTGACAAGCAGCGTGTGCCTAGGACAGCTCCCAAAGGGGCTCAGCTCCAGTGACACACCTGGGGCAGGGCATCTCGTGCCTCTGGAGACAGGACTGTGCATTTTGGCCAGTGGCACCCTGGAAGGGAAGGGCAGGTTCCCCAAAGTTGGTGGTGACTGCAGTGAGAATCCCAGAGAGCTGACTGAGCTGGTCCCATGGACTTCAGTGACCCCCCTGAGCCCAGCCCAGGACACTCGGCACCCACACCCTGCCCACTGCCCAGGAGCACAGCCAGGGCAGGGAGCAGCTGCTCCATCTGTGCCACTGAGCAGGGTTTGGGCTGGAATGAGCAGGGTCCATGCTGGAATGAGGGCAGTCCATGCTGGAATGAGCAGGGTCTGTGCTGGAATGAGGAGGGTCCATGCTGGAATGAGCAGGGTCCATGCTGGAATGAGGACAGTCCATGCTGGAATGAGCAGGGTCCATGCTGGAATGAGCAGGGTCTGTGCTGGAATGAGCAGGGCCCATGGTGGAATGAGCAGGGTCCATGGTGGAATGAGCAGGGTCCATGCTGGACTGAGGGCAGTCCATGGTGGAATGAGCAGGGCGCATGCTGGAATGAGCAGGGTCCATGCTGGACTGAGGGCAGTCCATGGTGGAATGAGCAGGGTCCATGGTGGAATGAGCAGGGTCCATGCTGGAATGAGCAGGGTCCATGCTGGACTGAGGGCAGTCCATGGTGGAATGAGCAGGGTCCATGCTGGACTGAGGGCAGTCCATGCTGGAATGAGCAGGGTCCATGCTGGACTGAGGGCAGCCCATGCTGGAACGAGGGCACTCCATGGTGGAATGAGCAGGGTCCATGCTGGAATGAGGGCAGTCCATGCTGGAATGAGCAGGGTCCATGCTGGACTGAGGGCAGTCCATGGTGGAATGAGCAGGGTCCATGCTGGAATGAGGGCAGTCCATGGTGGAATGAGCAGGGTCCATGCTGGAATGAGGGCAGTCCATGGTGGAATGAGCAGGGTCCATGCTGGAATGAGGGCAGCCCATGCTGACTCCCACCCAGGGCCAGAGCAGCCATCCTGCCCAGCTGCTCTCTCCTCCCTGCCAGCTCAGAGCTCCCCCTCACATGAATGATGTGGGTTTTGAGCCAATGTCTATGACAGATAAAAGAAAAATATTAACTCTGATTTTGTAAGGTGTGGCTGCTATCACTGTCACACGAGAGAATGACAAGTCTTTCATTGCTGAGGTGGCGTAGCAGAATTTTAATTGTTTTTCAAATAAATACAATGCTTAGATTTATATTTTGCTCATTTAAACATTAGTGAAATTTTAAATAATCATTAAAGTTATTTTTCAAGGTACATAAGAACGCTCTATATAAAAATACTTCTTGAAATAAAACATTCAAAACCACATTATTAAATCTTTGAAATGCCATAGATCTTATTATATTTCATAATTCAAAAAGGAAAAGGTTAGCAGCACAGGTATTTAATTATTCTTTCCAAGCATACATTCATTTAAATGTCTCATTTTGAGGTTTTTTTTCCCCCCCCTTGGAAGATCTTAATTTTGTCTTTTAAGCCAATGAGACTTCAATGAAGGCAATATAGAATGTAAAATACCTCTGGTATTATTATATTCACATATAAAGTGTTTATTACTGAAGAGTGATTTACACTTTAAACTATGTTTATACTTAATAAAAATAAAAGCAAACAGCAGATATAATGTTCAACATTTTAACAACCTTCTGGACATCACCTTCCTTCCCCCCACCCCAAGCACATTTCCAAAATCATATAGTGATTTCAAGTGCATTTTTGGTTGCTCTATCTGCTACATCTACTTGCCCCAGGTTTGTGAAGACTGGCTAACTGCAGTTCCCACTGGTTAGGAAAATTTGTTAATGCTCTGAGCTTCTAAAACAATAAAGTCCCGAGTAATCCAAAATTTTTAAAACAAATACCCAGACAGCAGAACCTGTAGGTCACTACTGAGAACTTTGGTCATAAAGTTCCATTTTCTTCTCATGTAGGTACCTGAGACATCCTCAAAATTTCCTAAGAACTTTTTCAGAAAACATGAAAGGGTACTTTACCTCACCAATAGTGGGTTTTCACCCCCAAGTCTGCTCTTTGATGATGTGGTTCATTTCTCATTCTGATGGAAGCAGCAAGTATGTAATATGGACTCTGTCATCTATTTCCATACAGTGGAGAGAGTTGTGTCTGACAGGACACAGCTGTGATTTACAGGACCAAGGCCTATACCCATCATTCTGGATGGCAAGAAGGGAACAAAACAAACCACTGGGGCATCAATAATTTTTAGTTCCATGTGCAAACCAATACGGTCCTTCCAAAACTAAACCAAATCTGTAAACTGCTTTTTTGTCTACCATTTGTCAGACTCTGTGGTCCTGCTCCTTTGTGAGCTACAAGAAGAAGGAGAAAATAGATTATTTCTCAGAAATCTCTACTGCAGAGACAGTGCTACCCTTCTCATCCCTTCTTGCCTGCACAAGCTACAGGGGGAGATGGATCATGGAACCACAGAATGGTTTGGGTTGGAAGGGACCTCAAAGACCATTTAGTTCCAGCCTCCCTGTGGAGTTCTGTTCACTAGACCAAATTGCTCAAAGCCCCAACCAACATGGCCTTGAATCATTCCAGGGATGGGCATCCATAACTTTTCTGGGCAACCTGTGCCAGAACCTCACCATCCTCACAGTACAGCATTTCTTCTTAATTCCTAATATAAATCTGCCCTCTTAAAAGCCTTTGCCCCTTGTCCCATGCAGCTTTCCTGTGGGGCCTCTTTAGATACTGGAAGGACCTGTAAGGTCTTCCAGAGCTGAAGTTAAATTCTGCCCAAATGAAAGGCACAACTGTGTTGTGTGCACATTCAGAAGAGGGCCTGAACTTCTCTTACATTTCTTGCCATCCCACTCTGTTATATTATTAGTTGGTCTCTGCCTGTATTGATAAAAATGGTATTTAGGTCAATGTGTTCTTTGTTAATTGCATTAGCCATGTGCCTAAGACTTAGGCTTCCTCTTCTCCCAATACTGCCTTTGGCTATTAACATGTGGTCTTTAAATATATGTCACTATTAACAGTGCACTCAATCTGTCAGGTGAGATGGATAGAGCCTGTTTTAGACAGACTAAGATAATCAGTGCAATGCTATTTACAAAATTCACATTGGTAGTGAGACCCCTTTTTATGCTGAGTCTCCAAAAGCAAAGGGAAGAAATATATTTGTGTTCTGTTTATGAGCTCTAATCATCTCTATACTTTTTTTCAATTTCTGCAAAATATTTTGGAATTTTATTTTGCAAATAGGATCATTTTCCCTTGGGAAAAATATTAATATTATATTGGCTTTTATCTTCCAAGGGTTTTTCTGTCTGTGTTTAAATTACCTTCTATTAGCAGAATTTTTCCTCACATGGTAGCAAAGATCAGATCATATTCATGTTCAATCCCACACACCTCCTGAAGCAGATTTAGCAAACAGAAAACTGCTTCTGGCTTGGAAACAGAAAATTTCTGCACTTGTAATGTGGCTAAGTCCAGCGGAAGGAGCTGCATTACTTCAACAATGGGCATCAAAATAGAAGACCTTTGAGAGGTCTATATCCAGATGTAAAGAGAAATGCCTTCTCCTTGTTTATGGAATATCATTGGGTTCTACAAACTAGCTAAAATCCAGACAGCCAGCTGATAATGAAATGAGGAATTCCAACACCAGCAGAGACTAAGAGCTTCCCTTAGCTAAACTAACGTTTTGAGTTGAACTTTTTTTCCCCAAAGACATTTACTACATTTTGAGCAGGAAATCAATATCCTGATGCTATTTGCTAACTGTTCAGCTCTGAAAGATGATATTTGTTGTGACAGCCTCCAGGCTGGGGCTCTGCAGAGTCCTTGGCACAGGCCCTGGTGCCCCAGCCGCGCTGTGCCCGTCACCGCTCCGTCCAGGCAGCTGTGGGGTAGCGTTCCAGGAGTGCATTCCTCAGCTGGGCTGTGTGGATCTTGTCTCTGGTCTCCACAGTGCAGATCACCTGGAAAAACAATTAGGACCATTCCTGATGGCATGGCAGCAATCTCAGACAAAGCCATTTCCAACTTAAACCTAAAATGCGCTCATAAAAACTACCAGTTCAAAATAAAAACTCTGGCCCTCACATCCGCTCTCTATGCAGGTAAGAGAACTGAGATTGCAGACATCTGGGGCTCTTCCAGCCCATCTGCATGACCATAAAACCTTCCAAAACCCTACTTTATTGCCTTCAAAGTTTAAAGAATACAACTGATCCTCTGCTGGCTGTTGGGCAAGGTGCCTCTCTGCCCTTGGCCTCCCTGAAGACATCTGTTAGCAGCCTCGCTTTTCCTTTCCCTGTGCGTGGCATTGCTGCCACCTCACCCACCTCTGACTCTTACCTCATCACATTTCTGTATTTCTGGCAAGTGTTTGTTCCAGTACTTCCATCCTTCAAGCTTTTTGAATTCACTTTCTCTTGTCTGTCATGGAGTTATCCCCCAGTTCTCTATCATCTCTGCAATATTTTGGCTGGTTTCACTTCTCATACACCACCTTGCTTCATTCTGTTTTTTGTTTGCTTATTGCATCACTTCTAGTTTTCTTTTCTGGTTGTTCTACTGCTAAATAAAACAACTTGGGCAAAACTAATCTTGATAGTTTTTTTTTATTTCTTCACTTTCCTCCAAAGGTACTGTTGAAATCCTGTCATGTAGACACTAAAGATAATAACTTGAATGGCATTTTTTAAATTTTTCAATTATCTCTCTTTTTTGCATACTCACATCTCTGCCCCCATCACTTGAAAGCCTGGGCACTAGCAAAGATGAGGCACCAAAGTAAAGGCACAGAAGGAAAATCATATTTCACAATTTGAGGCTCCTAACTTCCATTACTGATAGTCCTGCTGCAATAATCACGGGTGTTGAAAGTGCCACATGGGAAAACAGAAACATGGAAGTCTAGCAAGGAAAGGACCCAAGATGAGTCACAGTGCAGCTACAGAGAGTTCAGTGTAGCAGCAAATCTACAGAGAGCAGAGAAACAAGGAGCCATGAAAACCTGGTGGTGGGCTGCTCCAGACATGCCCTGTCAAAATGTTCCTATCAGAGCTGCATCCCTTTTAGAAAACAAAAAATACTCTAATTTGTTTACAAGGACATTTCTAAATAAGAACTTAGAATTCATGTTTTCTGGAACTGTCTTAAAGTAACAATAAACCTTTAGCAAAAGTGCTGAATGAAAATATAAAACACTAACACTCCAAGTTAATCTAAATAGCCATAGCTCACTTAATTAGAAAACTGGCTTCAGTTTCTCAAATACCCACCATGAAATAAGCCACAATTCTGATCTGGTCTTGTAATTCTTCACCTCTTGTGCTGCACATAGTTCTATTTGTTTGGCTCTTTGGAATGCAAATTAGATGCTAATTTTTTCTTCTTCAAAAAAGTGGGATTTAATCTCAAGAGAAGGACAGTCATAGAGGACAAGAAAAAATGAGGAAAGGGGAGAGAACACAATGACTGGGAAAAGGATCTGAGAACACCAATGTACCCAACACCCATTGTCCATTCCCTGCTTCATGTAAAATCTCCAAAGCTTTGCAATCATATCTTCAAGGGGACAGACACATCTCACATGGAGTCTGTAATTAAAAAAGTAAGATTCTTCGTCTTCCAGAGCAATCATGCCTGTTTTGTCCTGAGCAAATCAATTGCTGCTCCTGGAACCAGTCTGCATGTGAGAGATTCAGCCTTGAATGTCTGGTAGCAAGCTGTGGCTCTGCCCACAGAGCAAGCATGGGGAAGCATTTTGATTTATGGCTAATTATCCTCTCTGCCCTTTCCTTTCTGCTCATGATGGAAACCAGGCAGACCTCAGTAGACTGGAGCCAGAGAGCTTGTGAGCAGGCTGGATAAACACTGTCATTCTGTTCTAAGCATGCACCACAAGCAGCAGCTGATAAGGAAGACACTGAGCTGCAGTGTGTCATAAAAGTACTAATAGCAACAGCAGTGATAAAAAACAACCCCAGAAATTCACCTGATTTTTCACAGTTGTCAAAGAAAGGAATAGAGAACATTTGGTCCCAGCAGGAGTGAAGAGAGAATCACACAACACCTCGGGGCAGCTCCAGATCTCAGCAGCAAGGAAGGCAGGAATTTACTTTCTTGCTTAGATTAAGCCAATTTACACTGCAGTTTTACTTTCACAAACTTTCTCTCTTGCTTGCTTTGCCTGGGACACATAATTTACACGAGTGTCCAACAGAGCAACCCTCACATTCACAGGGAGTAGATGAGGTTATATTTTATGTGAGATGCAGAAGCACCCCAATACCTATAGGAGGTTGCATAGCTATTGATGACCTAAGAGTAAGTGCCCCAAAATGGTCTTATTTAAGAATAAATGACAAATCCTATTGCCTGATCTTTCTTGTACACCAGACAAGGTAACTTATGACAACTAGAGAAAAATTTGCCTTAAAATTATTTCATACTGATAAGCCTCAGAACTATACATGGGATTTTTGAACCTGCAGAGCTCTTATTGGCTGCAGGGCCAGCTGTGCACAGCACACCTTGCTTTTCTCTGTATCAAAAACCCCACAAAACCACCAACAGAGGTTTCTCTCCTACATATAATGTCTTTGCTGGATTAATTAATTAAATAATTTTCTGGTCCAGTAAGACCATTAAAATAACCAGACAGATAGACCTTTTACTGCACTTAGGTTCCATTCCCTGTGACAGGTAATCTAAAGATAAATTTCAGCCAAAGGGTTTAGTCAGCCTGTAAGTTTTTTTCAGAGCAGGCCTACAAGTTAAATTAAAGACAGAAGAGATTTCACTGACTACTGATGGCTTGTGGGGTTTATTTTATGACTGGAAATTATTGAGGAAGCAGGACAAAAGCTAAAAAAAAAATTAAAGGAAAAAAATTATGACAAGTTATTGACATGCAACACCAAAAATCCAGATGCATAAATCCAAATATTCTTTGGAATTACACTGACTTCAAAGACTGGAAATTTCATAACTTCACAAAAGGAAGAAATATGCAAATTTCTGTGCTGAATAGGGTGGACACCTCTACTCCCTTTTGACGGCAAGATCTCATAGTAGAGGCACTTCACCTTTTGGATCATATTTTCCTAGATTTTAAAAATTAATTTGGCTTGCCTCTCAGCTCCCTGATGTCTACTGTCTGCAGGCTGTGTGTGCAAATAAAAACAGTGGGTGGTTAAAAACATAAAAACATGCTAAGCCAATGTTAGAGAGCAGAGGAAATGTGAGCCGTACTGCTGAATCAAGAGATTTCAGTCTTTTGTGCTTTTCCAGGCTCCATGTAAAGCTAATCCTAAATAACCAGTGCAGTCCTTTATGTCTTTGAATCATCCATTGAACCTTCCTATTCTGCTTCTTTAATTCTAGAAATCATATTAATCATCTTAAGTATGAATAACTTAGTATTCATGATCTAAGTCTTAGTATTCAGGCATCTAAGTCTTTTTGCATAACTCAGTATTTATGATACACCACATTTAGCAACATTAGAGGTTTGCTTGCATGAAAGTTCAAGTTAAGAATGACAACTTGATTTATATATACTGGTTTCTGTTCTGTATTTAGAAAAAGGGGTTTCTTTTAAAATAATCAACAACTGGGCAATTTTGTGAATTATTTGGTAAACACCCAGTGTAGATTACGTCACATTACAGATTATTTGGTAACATCAGCTCAGCTGATGGTTTGGGATCAGCTGCCAGATTGTCCCCGTGGTCAGAGCAATGGAATGCTTGAGAAAGAGAGCAGCAGCCATCAGCTGGTTGTGCAAGCTGAGCCCTTATCATTTGGCACTTGGGGCACTCAGGTGGGTGAGCACGAGCAGGAACAAGCTGCAGCCATTACGTAAGGCAGGTAAGAACCCACAGGAACACTCAGACCCTCCCAGGGCAGCCTCTCCTTCTCACAGGCTGCCCTGTGCCACAGTCTGCTGGGGAATGCCTTAAAGAACAGCACCAAATTCTTCTGGGGAGCCTCAGAAGAAATGGAGTGTTGAGCTTCCCACTCCCAGTGTCTCCACTCTGCAGCTGGGGATGGAACACGGAAACAGAGCCTTGCCCAGGGTCATGCTTTGGCAATGATAGCATCCTTCTGCACATGTGAGCTGCACAGCTGCCTGCTCCTGTGTATCTGCTTCACAGGGCAATGACAGGCAATATGTTGGCACCTGGGGACTCTAATCCAAAATATTCCCTTCAATCCTTTACAGAATGCAAGTTGGCCCAAATTAATTTATTCAAATTGACCAGAGCAGACTGAAATAATTTATTGAGTTCCAGCCTGAGGTGAATGAACTGCATGAGAAAAACAGACACTATGCCACCCAAAGCCAGGAATTTCAGCACCACTGGGAGAATGTGTAATGCTACTGAAAAGAAAAGGAAATATTTGATCTATGATTTAGCATTTTCATGCACAGACAAGAGGGAGAAGTAGTGTGGTGGATGTGTTTTTCACAGGCAGTCTCTTCCAAGTTCTCCAAAACAACAGCACAGTGAAGCTCCCAAGAGGCCTGAAGTGAACAGACCAGACAGCCCATAATGCCAGACAGGAGTGAGCTCAGAGGGAGCACTGCCACCCACTGAAAAGCTGCTGGGGCAATTCACAACCTTACAGAACCCTCCTGGACCTGCCAGTTTCATTATGCTGGAGTTTCAGTGGTGAGAAGACTTCTCTAGAAAATTTTCAAGGAATTTTTTTTTCAACTAGGTTGCCTGAGTCCAAAAATTATACACTTATGAAGCAGGCAAGCTGCTGAACTACTTCATAGCAAAGAATGTCCTTACCTTATTAAGTTGCTTATTGATTTTTGTTCATTGACTTCTCTATGAGCCAATATTATTATGAAATTAAAGGGACTTAAATGGTTTTAAAGAGGTTTACATATGGAAGCAATTTAAATGATAAATTGTTCCAATCGAATCTGAGGAATATTACTGATGGAGAACAGAGAAAGCTCACAGAAGCAAGGTGTAGCTTCCTCCCATGAATTAGGTAGTCCTTTAGATATCTGTATCCACTTAACTGGTGATATCAGATGATTATTTTATTAGCTCAGATCTTTTTTCTGCCTAGATATTCCCTGTCATCTAACCGCCTTCAACAGGTGTAAAATGTGAAGCTTACCAGACTGGTTATTTGTCTGATTCGCTAAGAGTTATCTATTTCAATACAGGGACTTTGGAAGTAGTTTCCTAACCAGTCAGGTAAGAGTGAATAAGGGTGTATTCCTCTGCAAGAAAGAAATCCAGAATGAGTCACAAGGGAAGAGAATCTAAACTGGAGGTATGAGCAGGCAGAATCCTAAAGAAACTCCCATAATATTCCATGAAACACAAGCAGCTGATCCCTCTGCACAAGGCACTTCTTACTCTAATATAGACATATTCCTTCCTTATTTTTTAGTAAAGAAAAAAAATCTTATTTTTGCCACTAAAATGTTCCAAAAGTTTTTTTTTCCAGAAGTGAAGATTGAACACAAAATTTCATTTTAGAAAGTCCTTCCTTTTTCATGAAATCAGACTATCAACAAGGATCTTCCCACAGAGTGTTCCAAGTGTGCACTAGATGAACAAGCACTAACCCAGAAAGGCATTTCACTAGAATGAAAAAAACCCAACCAAAGCAGCTCTGTCAGCCTGATAAGTGACTAGAAGCCAAGTTTCTCTCTGTTAGAAATAAAAGGGTAGATCTAAAAGGCTGATTAAATACTGAGGCAATAATCTTGACAGGACAGATTTAGTGTTTCAAATCAGCATCTATGCTCTCTGCTCTGTCCTGTCAAACACCTCATCTACATCCACAGTCACAAGCACACATTAAAGTCAGAATGAAATGGGTATAGCTGCAATTTCTTGTCATTACTGCCAGTACAGCACAAGGTGGTAATTTTGGTTCTTGATCCAGGTCTAAATTCATACCTTATTTTATGTGCTGTAATTTATACTACAAATGCTTAAAATGTTTTGATGACACAGGTCTTTGGCTCTTAGAAACAACAAAGAAAAAACCAAAATATCCTTCACAGATCTTAGCTTTACTCTGAAAATAGATATTTTTTCCTTGTACCTGGATAGAGCAAATTCATTTTGATGCTTACATATAAACCCTTTTTGACTACACGTGTTTTAATTTTCAAAGAAAGCTTCACAGTCCTCTAGATATCACCAGATAGAGCTGCCTGCAGAGGTCTGTATGTCTGGGCCACTACTTTGTACTTCACATCTAATTATGCAATAGCCTCTCCCAGACTGGTTGAAAGCCATCATGCAAATCCAATATCCAATTAATTTATTCAGGGATGCAAATTCCTCCCTTCAACCTTTTTGTACAACACTATCAGATTCTTGAAGTGAAATTACACTGTTTAAAGTGCAGAGAATACTATATAGCACTGTTTTCATTCAGGGCCTGTATTTACTAAAAACTAAAAAACCAAACCAAACCAAACAAAAAAAAAAAAGAAACACCTAAGACAGTAGATTTGATTTGATTTGCTTAATAGCATTAGTATAAACTACAAGTCTCACTCCATAAAAATGGCATTGAAAACTTTATAAGAGTTACAGGCTTTACTGAATCTAACCTTCAGTGAAAAGCATTTCCAGAGCTAAGCTGGTCACTCAGAGGGGTTTATCCACCTCCTGCACCTTGTGCTGTGAGTGTCACACTATCTCCAAATCAGCCAAAGCTGGCCTATCATTATGGCACACTGCAGAACAATGTGGGTTAAGTCCTAGATGCCTCAGAGTATTGATGATATCATGTACCATAGTGATCTTTAATCTGCCTCTTCTTTATATCTGCAAGTGAAAATACTGAGCAGGCTTTTGCATCCAGACGGGAAATTAAATTTAAAGGCAAAAATCAACGAGATTGCTTACCCAGTAACATTTCTGCACCCCAATTATGAGCCTGATTAGCAAAGATCTCTAATTTGACTTCCACCTGGGGTTTCACAAACTAAGTCAGGTTGGACCTGGACAGCAATAGCATGAAATCAGTAGGACCACACCTTTGCCAAACCAGTTGAAATAAGAGACGCATCATGAGAAAAATGGTCCTTTTGAGAGACACCATTAGCTGGTAGCACCTCTTCACTCTTTCTGCATCCAATACTCAACAAAGGAATAATGGCTTTCCTCTGTGCTCTGGGTGGCTAAGAAACAAATCTGAGTCCCTAATTTAAAAGGGGAATTCCTTAAGATTAAGGGTGTTCTCTACATTGCTTTAAGGCAAACATGTCAGACAATTACAGCCAGCCTACACAGCTGGCTCTTCAAGTTCTGGATGGATGCTGCAGCTTGCTCACCTCCTCCAGCACCTGCCACACGTGTCAGGAGGGTTCATACCAGCAACAGTGCCATGCAACACCTGGAGTACTTCACCATGGTGTTGCAACAGCAAGTAAAACTGGTCCTGTGTTATTTATGAGCCTGCTAAGTGCTTGGCAAGAAGCTGTACAACACAGAGGAAATAATGTCTGACACTCTGCACACTCTGTTGGATTTTTTCAACATAAGCATAAAGAGACAAGGAAACAGAATAAAGCAGGGGAGGCCAGTACTATCAGAGAAACTGAAATTGCATCTCCTCTTACCTCAACAGTGAAGAGGTTGGATGTCACAAATGTGCGTTCTTGTTTGATATCCAGAACTCTAGATCAAATAAGGGACAAATTAGAGATCACAACAATCCCCTGTCATTGCAAAACAGTTCCTGAAAGTGTTTGGAGAGTAAACATATTTCCTTCTTTCTGAATTAGACACAATTCTATGCCACAAAGGTGTTTTCAGACTGGAACAAAAATCAAGGAAATAAAAACTTTTCTGCAATATAACAAGGAAAAAACCTTTGAATAATTAATTACTTACAGACTTGGCTTCAGAGATGTTTGGAAACGTTTCCCAATCTTTAATAATCTTTGTGCTAATCTGTGATTATATTTCCCAACTATTAGTCTGATTTACCTTGCTTCCTCCCGAGCCAAAAGCTCCAGTAGCTTTGACATGTCTCCTGGGCAGTCAGAAATCACAAGGGAAAATCTGCACACTCTGTTATCCAGGGTCAGGGCACGAGCTATGCACTGCTGCAGCAAATGTAATTCCAGGTTTCCACTGCATATAACAACTGCCACTCTGAAAACAGACAGAAAAGCAAGAGTTTTGATTAGCACTTGCCTGTGTAAAGGAACTGTAAATCATAAAGACTGTGCCAATATCAGCCTAAGGTCTGCTAGAACCTCCCATCAATAAAAATTACAGATTAGAGGGCTCCTGCCTCAGTATCCATTGTGAGCAGGTAGGGGAGGCCTATAATTTGGCTGCATTAGTTGGTCTGAAATGATGTTTTCATTTCACATTTCCTGGAGATTTGAGTTTTGTTAGAGATAATTAGCTGGGGAACTGTAGGTCTAAGTTGCAAGTTTTAAGAATTTGACATAATTCTCACCTGGAAGTTCTAAGTTTCAGCCTCTTACTGATCAGACAAAATGTATGTTCAAGGTTTTCTGTAACCATTGATTAAATTCATCACAACCCTGAAAAATGAGTGCAGAAATGTTTCAAGTGGAAGCGAAGAGCCACATGATTAGTCTATGAAAATCTCTCTGCAGAGTCAAACCTACCCTCTTTGCATTTTCCCTTTTATTTTAGCTGTACTGAAATGTGTTGCTGCTCTGTGTGCACTGCCAGCCTCTTCTGAAGAATCGTCTCAGCAGTATTTTAGTGTACAGTCCTCTGCACTAGAAATCTTATTTTGTCTTGAGGGCATGCATGTTTAAATACATTCTGGACTATGACCTGAGCCAAGGCTCAATCCACTTAAGTGCTGAGTCCTCAGGCTGAGAGGCCAGGCAGCACTGGGCCACACGCTGAACACCAGGCACAAGGATAATCCCTCTGAGTGTGTGCACAGCTCTCAGGAGGGGAGGCAGGTGCCACTGGGTCACTGCAGCAGGCAGCCCAGCTCAGCTCCTGTCCCACCACAGACAGGGACAAGGGGAACAAGAGGAGACAACAGGCTGACAAGGGCAGGACACTGTCCTGGCAGGTGCAACGATGCCTTATGGAGCTGTAACTGCCTTTGCCCAGATATCTGAGAATCAAGGAGTCAAGGAAAGGGACAAGATGTGCCAGGTGTCCAGACTGGCATCTGTCTGGTTCAGCACAATCTTACCACCTGTGACCAGTCCAGTCAGGCTGAACTTTCTGCCACCAATGAGCCCCTTGCCAGTTCAGGGGCAGGAACTGCCTGGACACCCACAGAACAAGGAGATTGTCACTGTTTGCTAGGACCAGGGTGCTCAGTACCATGTTTCTGCCACAGTTCCCTGTTTGCAGCAGCTGCTGTACCTTTTACCCTTCAACTCAGGCAGCTTCCCTGCCACCAGTGCTGCAAGCCCAATGGCCCCTTCTGCATCAACCGTGGCTCGCTCGTACTCCAGCAGCCTCAGCATTGAAACGAGGATGTCCTCCTCCCTGAAAGAGAGACCTGGGTCAAAACAAATCAAAAGAGCTCCCAGAAGCAGAAGATAACACATTTATGGGTAACTGGGTTCTTGCCATCCACCCAGATACATGTGATGCCAAGGTGGTGTTACAGAATGCTGTATACAGAATACAGTGCTGCTGGGGGTGAATGCACATCTCAGACTCATTATTAACTGAAAGACAGGATGGCTTTTTACTAGAAATATTACCCAAATCCTAGTAGCAAGTGTATTCCACAAATGTGGCCTTGTGAAGATTTAGAAGAGGTTTGCCAAGGGCTGCCTTCAAGTGTTGTAGAACACAAGGACAAGGTTTACACTTGTCAGAGCATGACCAGGTAGTGCTGGCAGAAATTTTGGCCAAAGGGTGAGTTTGGACAACATTTTAGTCATATCACTTAGTTTTAGGTAGTCCTGTGAGGAGCTGGGAGTTGGACTTGATAATCCTTCATGGATCTCTTTCAATTTGAGATATTCTGTGATTTCTATGGTTTGTGGGTCTGGGTTCAAAGCCTTCAGTGCCCCTCTTGGAAAGAAAGGTTCCCCATGCCCACACTCCCCCAGTCTGCATGTTGCATTTTTCACATACAACAACATGCATCCAGTATTATTAATTTCACTGCTTTTCTTCACCTACCTCACAGTAACAACTTTATCCACAAGCTTCCCCGTCAACTGCAAAGAATTGCTGCCAAAGCAAACTCCACTCACATCTGCAGATTTCAAAAGACAAAAAAAATGAAATTGGCTGCTTTAGACATATTCAACATTTTTTAGAGTCCTGGCTGGTTTGTGCCTTTAATGAGTGCAGCACACTGCTGTTACATGACCTTAAGTTGTTTTTTTCATGTGATAGAAATGTGTTTGGCAATGAAGGGCCAAATATCACAAGAAGATTTTGCCATTTTGGACCCCTTCAAGAAACTTCTGATACTTCACTGGCATTGTTGCAGTGTGAGAGTGACCCTGCAGCCCAGTGCTTTTCACTGTTCAAGGAGGATTGAAGGAGAGGAGACCCAAGCATGGTATTGGGATTGTTAGCTCCAGCAGCACAGCTGGCTAAGAGTGCAGACACATGCAGAGCTAACCAAGAGAAATTAGAAGTTTCTTACAAAACTCCCATTTAATCCAAAACTTCCAGAGATTTGAACATCAGGCAAACAGGATGCTTTAAATTGCTTAACAGATGAGGTTTTTTGAGCAAATGATAAGGAAACAACTCTACCATTTATTAAGCACTTTTGTTCTGAGAACAGTTTTGTGTCTAAATATTTAAGCACTGCATCATTTTCCTGCCTTTTCCACAAGAGCTTTCCCATTGACTTCACTGGTTTAGATGCTGTGTGTGAGCACAATGTTCAGACAAATAATCTCATATTTCTAAGTATTCACATGCACTGGAAATAATATTTTACCCCATCAGGGTGTGGGGGAAAATGTGGCAGAATTTGCTCTTACAGCTTGAACTAAATTGTAACTCTTCAGAGAACTTCCTTAAAATATGTTTGAATTGAAATAGTAAGAAAATTATATAGTTGGAGAAATCTGTTACAACCTTTATTTTACCTCCAAAAGAATAGAATACTGCATTTTCTCACCTCCATAGAAGTGATGATTGTTGCAGGCCTGGTCGTCATTTGGGTGGCCAGCTTTTAAGGACTCTTGCAATACTGGGAAACTTTCAGACTCAACTCCCTGAGGAAGAGAGAGGTTGTCACTTTTTTATTGAACCAGTTGTAACAGAAGTTACCACCAAAGTAGACAGCCAAATCTACAGAAATTTCCTCTTCAAATTAACAATCAATTTCAAGCGTCAAAACAACCATGCTACCACTAAACTTATTCTGTGGCTTACTTAGGACCAAATTTTTCCAGTAAGAACTTATTTCAAAACACAGAACTGGATTTTATTTGCTTAGGAGAAGTCTTCCCATGCTTTTCTCTTAAATCCAGCCAAACTGCCAAGGGACAGGAACTTCCCTGGTTCTTACAGGGTCTTCTCTGAGGCAAAGCCCATGGGATCAGAGCGTTCCTGCCCCAGCATAGGCAGTCTCTGCAAGTGTCACTAGATACCAGTGTCTTTTGTAAACAGCAATGCTTAATAGGTGAAAGGCAACTTACAATTACAGAAATATGTGGGTTGAGGTGTTTGAGTGCAGCAGCTGACCCTGCCAGCAAGCCACAGTGGCCTCCTGCAGGGAAAATCACCGCGTCCAGCTTTGGCACCTGCTCGTACATCTCCAGCCCCACGGTGCCCAGGCCTGACAGGTACACAGCACTGTCCTCCCTGCGGAAGGAAGGGCACACATCAGCAGAGGTCAGGGCAGGAATAATGATTCCATCTACTACTTTCAAGATATTGTTCAGCAGAAAAAGATAAATGCGAGTAAATCAGCAGCACGTGAGGGAGGAGGTGATGCAACAGGAGGGTGCCATCAGGTGGGCCACAGCCTGCTCCTGCCCACTGGGAGAAAACCTGTGCTATAGACAAGCCCCTCAAAGAGTTTTCAGACTGAAGAGCACTTAAGTCCCATCATCATCAGGGGTTTACACAACTCGCAGGGAGAAGTCATATTTCCATTGCCATCACTTCCTTCAGCTTCATAAATTTTAGATGTTGCAGTCTAAACTATGAGCAAAGCCTCGAAAAGGAATCCTGTCTTTACTTATCAGTGGATTTAGTGTTTGTGATGAATGGAAATTTTCATGAGATTTAAGCAGTGTGTTCAACCTCACAAATATCAAAGAGATTGCTAGAGTTGTCTTTCCACAGTCCATGGCCAATATCTGATATACCTTTCCATTAAGCAAAGCATTTAGTCATGCCAAAATATTTACTGGTAAAATACTTTCAGGCAAATGTAGTATAAATAATAGGGACAAGCAGCATCAAAAAAATGAAGAAAACTCCAGTATACTGTCATGACTGACTTGGATCTATTTCTAAAAACTGGTTTGCATTTTATTTAAAAGTTAGCAAGGATGTAAATGTAGAACTACATGTAAGAAAAGAAATATGAGCTCTCTGTATGTTCTGCTTTTTCTGGCAAACAGAATTGTAGATCCAATGGCTGTACTTGATTTACTTGACCCAAGGATGTTTGGGCACTAGGAAACTGTTTTTATTACTGTATCTGTTAGACAGGCACAGAGAGGCTCAGTGTAAGAGCACAGAATTCCTGCAAGGAGGAGACCAAGGCCCTTGAGAAGTTACCTCACAGAAAATTCTTCAGAGCAAGGGTCTATATAACCACATAAGAAAGGACATCCACTCCTGTAGCACAGCCATAGACAAAGGCAAGAAATCATAGTGGAATGAGTAACTGAATCCTTGTGTTTACTTCCTTATCAAGATACTGAAGGAGTTCTCTCCTCCTCCTTATATGTGACAAAATATATCATTGACCTCCTGAATAGTTCTGGGGACTTATTCCCAAATAAGATTCAGATCCAAGTTTGTGGAGCTACCCCTGCCATGGTTACATGGGGTACAAGGGGACCTGCAAAATTGAGTGAAGGCTTGGGATATTCACTGAAGGAATAAAGCCTCTCTAACAATTGAAAACTGTCCAAATGAGACTGCTCTGAGCATGGAGAGCTGTTAGCAATTTGAATCAGTATTTCAGATCATCATGTTTTCCTTGATAACATCCAGTTGAAACATCAGTTCACTGATCAGCCATCAGCTTTTATAAGAAAGCAGGTGAATTTCTTTGCATTGTGAGTCATAACTTTTGCTTTTTGAAAGCAAAAAATATATGCTATTGAGGCAAAATGAAGGAAGAGGGCAGATAAATCTAAAGACTGGAGACTGAAACAAGCATTTTTGAGCCAGAGCCAGAAACTTGGATATTTGCCTTCTGAAATGTGTGATACATCAGCAGTCAAAGATGGGCTGTCAGGCTTTAGTTTTCCAATGAAGTTTTGGTGTGGCAGCTAGAAGGCTCTGTTCCTATCTGTTCCAAGGAAAGAACTCAGTCTGTTGGATAGAGTAACAGACTAACCAGATCAGAAATAATCAGGTTTGATCAGCATTCAGATATCGAGTTACACAAGAAAAAAATGGGCTCTCAAGGATGGAAGGAGTGTAATGCAATCTGCAGCACCCTTTCCTCCCTGATTCACAAAGGAATGTTTCTCACATCCTCACAGAGGGACTGAGTTAGTTATTGGCAATAGTCACATTGCATTTATAATGAGGTCCTGAGCCCCTGGTGTTAGCAAAAATTTCATGGCACCTAGGCAGCAATTAGGCAAAATAAATGATTGAATTCCAATTTGAAAAATCACATTTCCTTCCTGGGATTCCCCAGGAAGTTGCAACTGAGTAAAAAGTGTCCTCCATCTATTTGAATTCTTGCATGGTCATTTTCATGACACAGAATTTTAATTGCAGCCAGCAATGGGAAGAGCTGACAGTGACACACCCAGCTGCAGGCACAGCCCAGCCCAGTCACGTACCCAGCCCTCTGCCTCAGGAAGGGCAGAATGAATTCCTGGGTGAGGAGACCCAGAGACCAAATTGCTAGGGATTGCATCCCAGCTAGAATTAAACTGGAATACAATGACATTTTGCAAGTTCCATTCTAACACTTGGGAGCTCAGCTGGTATTTTACAAACAGCTTTGGCAAGTGACAAGAATGTGTGTCAGACCCACACTGGAGAGGACTGGCTATCCATAAAGGCTTACATTACACTGGGAAACCTCTCCAGGTCTACACCTAACAAAATATTTTTCAGATATCCCATTATGAAAGCCTCACAATTCAAGTGGGGGGTTTCTTCCTTTTTTTTTTCCAGTGAAAAATTGCATCTGTGAGTTTTTAATTAAACACAGTCACAGATTGAACAACTTGTTTTTTGTAACCTGAAACCTGAAATAAATCAGAGTGCTTTAGTATTATTAATGGTAGTGTGTACATTCAGAGTTCCTCAGTGTTGGATGCTGAAGTTCTACACATGCATTGTCCCTGGAGCTTCATGAACCTGGAGAATATCTACTTTATGTAACTGAAATCATTATTTAGGGATGAGGGGAAGATAAAAGATCAAATTACAATAAAATAATTTAGTTCTTTTGTGTGAATGTGATAGTTGATGCAAGCCAGCTGGAGGTTAATACATCAATTGAAAAATGGCTGACAGAAATTTGGAAATCACCAAGTTATGGAGAACTGTGGTTTTCAAAGGAGCTTTAAAGTGTTTAAAATTCATTGGGATTCAGGGCACCTCATTCCCCATTGAAAATCCCAGTCTGGGACCAGACTGTGCCCATGGTGGCAGACCAGGCCCATGAAGCAGCCCTGTGTGTCACTGGCTGCTGGCAGAGCTAACACAGGAGTTGAACAGCACAGTTTGTAGTATTGCCTTCCCAATACACTAGCTGGGAAAGAAATGAGGAATTCCTCTGTTCTGCTCATTCTGGGATCTTCTTCCCAGGCAACACCCCGCACCATTACTGTGTTGGAGGCAGCAGTGCCTGGGAGCTGGAGGGGAATGGGCACTCCCTGCAGGAGATGCCATACCAGCACCAGGAGGGGGATAAAGCCTGCACAGAAGCAGCAGTGGTAGGGGGACAATTCCAGCTCAGGGTATCAGAGGGACCACTGTTAATGATTCACCCCTCTGTGCTTTTGGAAATCTTTCTTGAAGAAAGGTAAAAAAAGAAAAGGGGCAGGGCGGAGGGGGAATGCATAAGAGGCTACAGATAAAAGAGAAAAGGAAAAAGGTAGGAGTTCTAAGAGTTACTGCCTGTCTTATTTATGTTTTTGTTAGATCTGCCTTGTCCAGTGACCTCAAATAGTTCAAATTTAGATTTATGCTCATCCTTAGCTACTTTAAACGTATGTATGAAGTAGACTCTCAATCATTGTTTTTCAAGACAGGATCAGTTTTGCTCCTCACACCAAATATGTGAAAATCTTAGAGCATTAACCTCTTCTTGCTCCACATTTTCTCACTGAACAATTTTAAAGATTAACTTTTACCCATGTAACTTCAAACAGAGAGATCAGAAATGAACACCAGCCTAAATACTTTCTGATGGAGTTACTAAAGAATTAAATGATAGCCACTATCATATTAGCTCATAGAAATCAGAGTTTGCCTAATTGAGCGGCAGACAAGTGTGTTTCATTTATGTCTCCATCTCCAGCTGTTACAGAAAGACACGATTTGTGCCTGGAAACACGTAACTGTCCATATTCCAGGTAAATGGAGCATTTGGATGAGCTGTGATAATTTTAATGAAACTGTTTTTGCAGAGCTGTGCAGGTATCCAGTGAGCTGTCTCTAGTGTGCCTGCTGTCACTCACTCCTCCAGGTAGAGGTATCCGTTCTCCTGAGCCAGCCTCCGCGCGTGCAGCTGGGCGTCCTTGCCCGTGGCGCCGTAGGAGATGACCATGGCGCCGTAGTCGCGGCACATCCTCACGCGGGCCGGGGCCGTGCTGGTGCACAGGATCACGAACACGGGCACACGGAGCTCTGAGGCGTGGTGCGCAACAGCCATGGAGAAGTTGCTGTCTGAGGCCACGATCACCCCTTTTCTTTGCTGCTCCTGAAAACAGGGTTGCAATTGCACGTTAGTGTCACATAGCTGGACCCTGGATCATTCCAATGGTATGGCTTCCTTTTTTCCCTTTACTAGCGGATTGAATTGTGATGTTATGGTACACTGTATGCATGGCTGGTGTGATCTCGGGATTTACACACAAAGCTAAAACAGCACAAGATCAACCCCTGTGCCTGCACTCCTCTGGGTTCAATTCTTGTTCCATGGGAAAGAGCTGAAAAACTCCAACTGATCACAGAAGAGCTGATAGCAGGTCCCTCAGAGCTTATATCTCTGCTCTGCCTGTATGAAATTATTTAATTTTTGCTTTCTTTTAATAGAAGATTTCATTTTTATTATTACAAAAGGCAGGAATAACCACTGCTCTTGGGCTGCTGTCTCATGCCTATTTTAACAATTACTGCAGAGACTCCTATGACAATGGCAACAATCTCCTATGACAAATGATAAACAAGCTATTCATGTAAGAAAACTGAAATTCATTGCAAAATCAATTGGTGATCTAGATCTTTGTCATCACTTATTGTAATTCAATTTCATCATTGCTCATCAGTTTGGTGGTTTCGACACATCAGAACTACAGTACACATAAAAACACTTGCATCTTAATGCCATAAGAAAATGCTGATGTTTCCATTTTGCAAGCTTTTTTTTCAAACATTAAGAATTTCCCTGGCAGACCAGCCAATTGTAAATAAAGTCATATTTTACATTCAGACCAATCTCTGTTCATATGCTGTGTTCAGTACAATGATTCTAAAGACAAGAAACACTGTGATTCCATGGAGATTAGAGGCAAATTTATCTTCAACTCTGCTCCATTTTCATGAAGCAGAGCTACTCTGCTCCTTTTTGAATGCTGACATTTTGCAATACCTGAGGCAATGACATCAGAAGGTAAAGTACACCTCGTTCCTTCACAGACCCCGTGTACTGGAGGAACTCCTTCTTCAGGTAGATGTCCATTCCATACTGCTTGGACAGCCTAGAATACTGGAGTAGATAAATAATATTATGTCAGTATATCTACTGCTAAGAAAAAACTTCCACATCCCATCAGCTGCATGTTGAGAAATGAATTCTACTGCTATATATGAGCTCTAAAAAGCAAAATTAATCCTCTGGTTCTTCATTCACAACAGAGTATTGTTACTTACCAGGTTCCTTCTGCTTTATGAAAGTGATTCTCAAACTCACAGCAGTGAAATATGGACCACATGCCATTAAGAACTCTGAAAATAGCACTTGCTTTGTATCTTACTGTTCAAACACAGGCATTAAAATAAATATTTTCAATCATCTCAAAACCCACACTTCCAGCACTTGCCAGAACTGGATATTGACTACCCAAAAAATAAGTTCATCATCTAATATATAAAAAGGCCATCAGAAAATATCTCCTTGAGCCCCATTATGGCTCTGCTATGGTTTCTGCCACTAATTCCCTACTGAGTGTTGTCTATTTTGCGTCCTACGACCAGTAGAATACTAGTAAAGACATTTCTTACTCAAAGAAAAATGCAAACAATAAAAAACAATTTCCCAGGACTGCAAGTGTAAGCAGCAGCTGTTTGGAAAAGCTTAGTGTTTGGATCAGAAATGATGCCTGAGCTGAGGGGAATTAGCAAGTACATTACATGTAATGCACTGCCCGAGTGCATGATTTTAAAAAAATTTTAATGGAAAATATTTGTTAAGCTTTATAATAAGACACTCCCAGCATGTATTAACATATTAATTTCCTATTAGCATTTTCATTAAACCCAGAGTTTTACACAAGATAACGTGTGAAACAGAGCTGCAGTAAGCCTGTGGGTGCCAGCTCCCCAGGCTTATTGCAGCTCTATTTCAGAACTGGCTCCATCTCCTCTATTGGCTGCCAAAGCAAATGAGGCCCTGGTGATTTAGGGGATCAAGTCTTCATTTAGGATAAGTCATGAAGTGAGACAGATCCAGAATCAGCATGACAAAATATTTCTCTCAAGCAGTATCTGGCAGTGTCACACATACAATGTATAGTGTACACACTAATAGGCACTGACACGGCTTTCAGACTGCAGGGCTTTCCAAGTGAATTTATATAAACTAAATATATCTGAATCAGACACTTCCTTTAAAGTATGCAGTTAAACTACATGTTTCAGGTGAACACTTCAAGGCTTTTTAGTGGATTTCCAAGCATATGTTTAAGTTCCTCACCCATAGGTGGGGCCAGATTCTCTGTTTTGCTTCTGAAAATCCTGACATAGGAGCTACCCCTTGCTGCTCCTTTGCAAATCTGGCTGCAGAAACTGAAACGATGGAAAGTGCTTAGCACACTAATAGGATAATAGTTTATATCCTAAACATCCTAATCTATGGAGAATGCCTATGCAAAATAGAACAAGAACACCATAAAAGAAATGCTGCTAGTGCTTCACATACCATGCTTGTTTCAGTAGACAATCTTGTATTCTAGAGCAAACAATCAGCAAAAGGATTTAAGGAGATGAATCGTGTGCATAATAAAGTTGCTACGTCTCCTACATTTAAAACTGTGTAATTAAGTCACTTTTCCATAGGGGTGGTGTACTTTAGATTGATATTTATCTTTAATTTTGATAGTCAGGATTTTAATTCTTTAGGTTGTCCTCTTTGTCTCCCTTTAACTGAGGATTTTTTCATATAGCCTAAATATAACAACTACTTCTAACAAAGCAGGCATCAGTGCTATTTGCAGTTGAACTGACCTGATGTGTGACCTCCTAAGACTCATTGAACCAGCCTGTAAGATTTCCTTTGAGTCACTGTGATCTTATCTAAGGACCACAGATACCATGTGTGAGGTACAGCACACAGCACATCCACCAAGCTAACACAACACAGCCCTCACAGCTCCTTCATCAGTAGCCAAGCCAGGTGTCCAGCTTGATGTCAGTTCCCAGTTTTCTTATGCCTACTACCTCTTGGGCATGCCACAATTCACTCATGATGCCAGATCTCAGCTCCAAGGCAAACTCCTGCCTAAGGAACCAGGATGCTCCATCCATGGTTTTACCTGCAGATAAGGAATCACCCTCTGCAAAGTGTTTCTCCCTTCAAATAATTAAATGGATTATAGTCACACTCACTGTTTTAGTCTAAACAAATATCTCTGAAAGGGACTATTACCTCTACACAATGAGTTAAAATAAAGGTTTTCTGTGTTTTTCTTGACACCACTCTGTGCTTTTGAAACAGTGCATGAAATGCACTAATAACTTCTGCAGGAACATTACTTTGAATAACAACAGTCATGGGCTATTTTCACAGTAAAATATACAGGTTTTTATATGGGTATAGGTTTTCCACTATTCTGATAATTTTTAAAGCATAGTTAATAAAAAATTACTAAAGCGAGATTGTTTAGCTTGAAACAGTAAATGCAGAAAGGGGTTGCATAAATCTGCCAGGGATAACCAGGAGCAAGGAGCTATTTAAGTTGGGGGGTGTAATGGTTTAACCTCAATTGGCAACTAAATACCATCCTACCACTTGCTCATTTCCCTGCCCCTGTGCTCTAGGCAGGATGAGAATTGGAAGGGTGAAAGTGAGAAATCACATGAGGTGGGATAAGAACACTTAGTAAGAATAAATAAATAAATAAATAACAACAATGTAATTAAAAGGAAAACAACAAAGCTAAATAAGACCCAAGAAAGACAGCTTATACAATTGAAAACAATTGCTCACCAAAAACCAGGCCCTGAGCCTCAGGCCCCCAGCCAAATTTCCCCCTAATTTTGTTGCTGAGCAAGGTGTCATATGGTGTAGGATGTCCCTTTGGTCAGTTGTGGCGTGCAGCTCCAGCTGTCTCCCCTCCCAACTCCTTGCACATCCCCAGTCTTCTCACTGGTGGGATGAAGTGAGGAAGAGAAAACACCTTGGCTCTGTGTAAGAGCTGCTCAGCAATAACAAAAAAATCTCTGTCTTATCAACAATATTTTCATCACAAATCCAAACCACAGCCCCATACCAGCTACTGTGAAGAAAATTAACTCTACCCTAGCCAAAATTTCCTTGCATTCCAGCTAAATCTTTTGTTCCACCTTACAGCCCCAAACTGTCTTGCGCCACATCCTTTGACACAAGAGACACTTCAGTAATGGACTACAAAAAGCACAGCTATCCTTATTTTGGGAATGTTAGGCTAAAAAACCCACACTGGAAGTAGTTATGATGTCTCTGCATCAGCAGGCATCATATGGGAACAAGGAGAACTTTGAGGACCCAACCACTTCACCCCAGGGACTGCTAACCCCAAGCAGATTGCAAGGTTCTTACCCTGTGCGTGCCAGGAAAACAATCCTCAAGGATTCACTGAGAGTGTGATTTGGGACTGCTGCTAGAATTGCCATTTGGCAAGGACACTCTTTTCACCCACCAAAAGGAAAAGAGATTACCCAGAGAGCCCAGAGCTGCCTGCTTGAAGAGCTCCCAATGGTAGAAAAACACTATGAAAAAGCACAGAAATACAGTCCAGCTTGCCATTGTACTTCTCTTGTGCTTTAGCAGACCTTGCACATTGATGGGGTACCTCAGACATTTCTACACCAATGACAGGTGCACGTTTGTGTGCATCCTTATTTTGCTGAAGACACCTGTGGGAGAAATACCTGGCTACTGAACACATCCAGCCCTTCCTGGCTGGCCTGACAGAAGGCAAATCTGTACCTTCAAACCCTCCAAATAAGAGGGCTGGTTCCAAACCAGACCCTTCCACAAGAGTGCTTACCCAAGCACTCATAGTCTGCCACCTCTAACTCAGGTCCCTTCTAGCAGGAGTTTTTCACTGGGAGCATAATACCACAGTGCATTAGGTCTATGCCTAATGTGGTTTATCCTTTGTTTACAGGCCACTGCAATCTTTGAGGATTTAGGTTAGTGTAAACAGATAAGAAGAAAATTATTATTGTCAGTCAAGTACAATTAATATGAACATGATTCTTCTCACACAGATCTCTCTGCTGCAATTCACACACACCCTTTCTTCATTTCTGATCGACTTTCATAAGGAAAATGAAAAGAAACATAGAGAAAATACAAACCCATCAAGATTCCCTACCATGCAGGGGGTTTTCTGAACACCACACTGGATTTTGAAGGCTGCTGCACTAATGTCTTCAAACCGAATGAGCCTGTTGCAGCTGGCCAGGCTGGTCCTACTGCTTGGCTGGGGGATGCAGGAAAGGGCATCCCTGAGCAACTCCTCATTCCGGCTCACTATCTTCATTTCCCAGGTCTTCACATCCCCGTTCAGGTAATCCTCCTCACCAAAATCCTTCAGTCTCTCAGGGTTGATAGAGGGTGGCTTCTGCCCAATAAGGCCATTTCTTACAGGGACATCCTTACAGCAGTGAAGATCACAAACTGCTGGGATATCTTTTTTCTTTATTTTATTGTCATCCCTGAAAACAAATAAAAGAGACTTGTTAGAAAGGCTTGGATGATTAAAGGCTTGATATTTAGCATTTTAGAAGGATGCACATCTCAGCTGCTCTTTGCAAGCCTCAACCAGGCAGAGCGAGTTTGCTACTGACATAACACCTACCTTCAGGTGCACTGAAAGATACTGTAACCTTGCAGCTGTTAGAAAAGCCACAAATAACTCAACATGTGGGCAAACTGTGAAACTATCCTACCCAAGAAAATAAGAAATATATAATCTGTGCTGTCTGGACAGCAAGACCTTCCTTAGTACTCCATATTCAACCAGAAATTATTCTAGTTCAGTGCTTCCAAAAATTTTGGAATAACTGGAGTTGTACACAATTCTATCTTTTTCAAAAAAGGCAAGAAGCTGCTGCAGACCATTCCCATAAACTATTAATAGCAGTCACAAATGCCACTACGTTGTACATGTGCTCTCTGCCCTTGGATACTTGCAGAGTGTACTCTTGACAGCCATCAACTGCCCCATGATGGGAAGGAAATTACTTTGATAAGGTACAATAATTATATCCTCCTACAGAGCTAAAGAATTAGGTCTTCTGATCTGTGGGTTTACATTTCATTGGTAAATATCTCTGTAGATATGGCAGATATGTGATGGCACAAAAATCTCCTTTCCCAAGAAACATACGAGAGATAGCACTGCTAGAAAAACTTGCAGAATTTGGTACCTTCAATTGCCTGACTCTGTGGTCCACAGCGTTCAGTCCACAAGGAACACTGTACTGTTGTGCAGGATTCTGCAGCCCTGCTGACAGATAAATGCAAAGCTTCTAGGAATTCTAGGAATTTGGAGATTATTGTGGGGAAAGGGAACATTAAGCAGAAGACCAGTGATTTGGAGAAGAGCTGACCCCTGGTTTGTGACTGTGATTAGACAGATGGTACAAGCTCCTCTGCATGACTCACTATTATTCTATTTGGCTGAAATGGTTTTCTAAAACCAAATGTGTTAAATCATGTCAGACATTCCAGCATTATCCCCAGCAAAAAATATTTACCTTTTTTCTAAAATAATTTGGGTCTAAGTTTTGCAGCTATCCATCAACAGGACTGGCTAAAGCACATTTTACAGCAGTGATCAACACCATAATATGCTTTGCAGCAACTTCCAAAAGAATTTTTAAATATTTAGAAACATCTGTTTTTTGAGCAATTGCCCACTTTGGGCATCATCCATTTCCTTAATGGTATCAATAATCTGTGCCAGTAGCTCTGGCTCCTATTAACACTTCCAATTTTTCCACTGAGGAATTCACATAACAATAGAGGCAACATAAAATGTTTTATTATTAGAATCAAGTAATATACCACAGCATCAATCATTCTGTATATCCTCACAGGACAAAATTTTCATAGCAAGATCCTCTCTCTCTAAAATTAATGAGAACACTGATTTTCTAAGGTAAATAAAGTATATACACATTTGTAACCTCTTTATGTTGAAACTTGTGATCTAAAGTATTTTCCCAATACTGTATCTTAAAGCTGATACAGCCTAACACCAGGCATTCTGCTTCAAACCAAGTAACTTATCAAGGAGCTCTGTTCCATAATTTTCTGCATCTCTGCTCCATTGGGGTTAGACAGCTGGAACACTTCACAAAGATGTTAAGCTTCCAGTGTTAGCCCGGGTGCACATTAGTCTGCTTAATGCCAAGCTGAGAACCAGATCAGATTTCCTCCCTGTGAACTTGTTACAGCACAGCCCAAAATACAACAGCAGCAGCAGCACCCAGGAGGCCACAGTAAAGTTCATTCCATGCCCCTCCCTTCCAAAAAATGTTTTCCATATCACAGACTCCCATAACCACTCCAAAAGGAAGAACAGATATGTCTTATTTCTGCACATACTGTCTAAAACGTTTAGCAAGCATTAGCAATGAATTATGTTCTTACACTGGAAATGTTTTAAAGGTGTCTATGTAGGGTAAAAACATTAGGCAGATCAAAAATTTGTGAGTTTATGGGTCAAATTTTTTATCCAACTGGCATTTGAGATGGAAGAACAAGTCTCATTTTTCATTGCATCCATTGCAATCAAAAAGTCTATAAAAACACCCAGCCAAAGGAGTTTATCAATGAACCAGGATTCTGTGAGAAAGTACAAGTGCATGGTAATGCCTCATCACACTAGTGCCATCAAATATTTGTATCTGCAAATAGACTAAAAAGGTATATTGACTTTTTGCCCCAGTCTTAGGTTTCTCTTTTTGTGGCGGAAAAAGAAGGAGGAAAGGAAATCAGATTCTCAGTCCTTTATGTGCATGACCAGTGAGTATCTGCTCAGGACTCCAATGGAGACAACATCTTGTGACCATTGGAAAAGAGGAACTGAAATCAAACAGCTGTAAAATATGTACAGGTTTTTCAGGCTTGAGTTTGGTTTAGAGCCCATCTGAATTATTACCATCTCAATATTTAATACAAAAACTATCATACATTTGCATCTGAAAAGTCAGCAGCCTCTTCATCAAGGGGGATATCATTCTATTGTATTTATATGTATTGTGTGTATTTATTTCAGAATTTCTTTGATTCTTCTACACCCACATGTCTTATTCACATTACAGAATGACATTTTCCCATACTGAGCCCACCTGGATGTGCCACAGACCCTCCTGGAGCTCTCAAACTCCCAAGGTAAACAGTGGGCTGAGGTATGATCACATATCACAAATGGGGAACTAATGGTCCTGTTGAGTCAAAAGTATTTCTTGCCTCAAAAGCATTCCACATGCTTGGCAGAGATCTAGATGGATTTCTTCTATAGGCAGCAAAGCATGCAAGTGCTCACACAACCCCAGCTCGTGACTTCTCAAGCGCAGTCCCAGAACACAGCCCCTGCCCCAGCAGCCGTGCCCACCAGCTGAAGATCTGAGCCAATACAAACCCAAACCCCAGCATAGAAAGCGCTGCTCCTTTCAGATGGAGCTTTTCCTTTTTTGGAGTTTGCCACAAGTTTTCATTAAAAGGTCTGTTTATTTCCAGACATAAAACAAACACCCAGCTGGCAAGCTTTGTTACATGGTTATAAATTACAACATTTTACCTTTAAAGTGATTAGTAAAAGCAAACATGAAAATACAGTTTATAAACCTACTTTTTCAAGAACAGCTGCTCAGCATAACTGGAAAAAAAAAGAGAAGATCCATATGCAGACTTTCCATAAACAATTAAAGCACAGGAAAAAATATCATTTGTTTAAGTAGAATGCTTTACATATTTTAAAGTCTCAAAGTCAATGCAAAACCAGTGTGTACCAAAATGTACTCCTACAATAATAAAAAGCAACAACTTGGAATGAATATTTTTTCTATTTCCAGTTTGTTTTTTTGAACATACTGATAATATTCATCAAGTTAAACAGCACTAGGGAAAAAAATCCAAAAATAGCAATATTAACAATCTAAGAAAATAATAAAACCAGCAAAAATAATTTTGGGAACACGAAAGGCAATAATGCATGCTATACCTAAAGACCGCAACTGTTGCCTTTGCCAGACAGAGAAGTGTCCAAGTGTGCAATGATGGACAGTTCCATGTGCCCATGGTGAAGCACTTCAGATTGCCTCCCTCAGCACCCACAAAACAGACTAAACAGATTAAACTGGTGCACTGGATCTCCTCAGCTTCTAAAACTGAAGGAGCAAAATCTGCAAAATCATGCATGTCCAGGGAATAGCAAAGTGTGAAAGACTATTCACCATTCTGCCCAGTATAAATGTTAGAGGGAGATGGTATTAAAGTATGAGGTAGAAAATTTTAAATTTCCCTTCTTAGAGAAAATTATTAGCTCACAGGACTCATTGCAAGAGGACTCTACAAAGAACAAAAATATAAACAGGCTCCTAAAAAAATACACAGCTAAATGGAAGTAGTGACCAATACACACATTGTTCAAGAATTAATCTGTGATTCAGGAAGCCCCTGGGCAAACTCCATGAAAGCATGTGAGAGAAAGTGCCTTAGGTGGCTTTCATTTTTCTCCCAGTTCTGTTACTGGCCACCTCTAGAGAGAGAACACAGAGAGGACTGCTCTTTGGCCTGACCCAGTGCTGATTGCAGATGTACCCAGTTAGCCCATTTGGCAGCTTTTACACTTCCAAAATGAGTCACAACAGCATGTTTTGAGGCAGACATGAAGCTGAAATTATGGACATACAGTCCCATGTACTGGTTCCCAGATGGAAATTCAACTGTCACAAGAGGAAACTAATTTTAATATAAGACTGAAAACTCAGCCTTTCTTTGTCATTTCTACAGCAGCTTTTGTCATCTGCATTCACAGTGATACACATTCACTGTAAAGAGGGACTGACAGTGTTGCAAAATGTGCAGTTGAGCAGTCACAAAATGTTAACCTTGAATACACTTCAAACTCATATGCACATGTTTGTTACATTTTTTAATGTTTTGTGTGTAGGGGTTTCTGAAGGTCATACCTATATGCTGCCATCACCTTCGGGCTCCCTGAAGACTTTCCTGGAGCACACTGACCAAGGGACATTGGTAAGAAACAGCTTTAGACAGATTTGTCACCTGCTTTCAGGTAACTGGGCTAATATCTTACACCTGCAAGTTCAGAATACTTATTAAGGCAAAAGGTGACCCCATTTGAAGTCACTTCTGCCTCTTTGCTCAGTGTTGAGCAGAGGTGGGTCAGGCACAGGGGGCAAGGCAGGGTGAGCAGCCTGCTGCAGGTGCAATCTGCCTGGCTTATGACTGCAACGTGGCTGGGGCTGGGATCTCCTCTTACAGGAGCGAGGAAGAGGCAATCCCAGGATATGACAGAGAGGGTCCTTTCCCTCATCCTAATCCCTTTTACCCAGAACCTCTCCAGCTCCATTAATCCTTCTAATTCCATGTCCCAGTGCTGTCTCCTCTGACCCTTCTCACCACTTGAGCCTCCCAGACCCCTCTGATACTTTCCTTGTTTGCTGCAATCTCCTTTTCCTGTAGCTCATAAACATTCCTGTTCCATCTCAACTCCTCTTCTACCTTTTTACCCTTTCCCAAATACATCCAATAGCAGCAATTCTTTAAAGCTTCTCAGCAACTTGAGCAAGTGCGACTTTATGAAAGAAAAATGGTAGAAAAATAGAGGCTTGCTGAGATAAAAGTATCAAGAAGGATCATAACAAATGTCATCTTCACTACTAGAAATTCCAGGTTATGCACTCAATAGTGTCTGAGTGCCCTGCACACCATTACAGGGTGATAAGTAACCTCCTGCAGGCACAGGGAAGGAACAAAATAAATTTGACAATTCCCTCTCCTTGACAATAAATTCAAAACAGATCAAAAACAATACTGCACTCTAAATATTACTGTCTTGAATTATCATTATTTTGATATTGAATTGAATTATAAGTATTTTGTGTAAGACTAGCACTTAGAAACACCCATTTGAGACTGTATCACTCCAACTAGTGGCACATACATGATGGAAATATAAAATGCATATCTGACCTTTATATATCTAGAGCCTATGCAAAGTGATTGCTCCTAAATCACACAGGAATCACCACCACCTTCCCCTAAACAGAAGGGCAAGTTCAGCAAATATTAGCTCAACTTTATTGATGGAAACTGGGACACAGACAGATCCAGTGGCTTGCCTAAGACTTCCGCAGGACTATTTATCAGAGTGTCTTAAAGACAACGAGGTCGGGGCATAATAACCATGCTGGGGGACAAAAGTGTAAGCACTGTGCCCATCCAGCAGAGACAGCTACATAACAACCAAGCCTTGAGGCTGAGCAGGCCTTTAGAGCTCTACTCACCATATACAGGCCTGGCAAATCTGTGTGATGCTGCACCAGCAGCACACACAAAGTTCACGTTCATGCAGCAAACAACCAAGCTGTATTATCACCTCTGGTAAAATCTCTCCTTACTTTTAGCAAGTCAGATTTACCAGAGCCTGAGCCTAGCACTACATATGCCTTCATCTGTGATCATAATCTATTGCCATTCTTCTGTACACAGTATGCACACCTCATTGCTTACTGCTGGCAGTGGCAACTGGGTGTCAGCTGCTAAATAGAAAACACTAGGAAAAGCAATCTGAAAGCAAGAGGAATTCACAAGGCCATCCATTATGCAAGTGTTGAAGCAGAGGTAACCAACTGTCCCTCAAACAGACCCATCCCTCCCAAAGTTCTTATAAGACATTCACAGCTGTGAATTTCAAATTATAGCTATCCAACACTGCACAGAGTTTGGCAGCTAAAACTCATTAAGCAATTAAACTTTCTCCTAAGTCGAATGTATTCTGAGTCTAGAGTTTTTCTGGTGACTAACATATCTCCATAATTCACTTCCAGTTAGGAATGAGTAACATAACTCAAAACAGAGCAAAGAGTGGTCCTGTGCTGAAAGGAGATCCACAGTGCACTGCAGAACAGGTCATATCTTGGGTGACTTTGGGCAAGCCCTTTTTACATTGCCAATGACCTTGTCTTCCTCTTTATTAACAGCATCAGGCCCACTGAAACGATTTATATGTTAACAACATCTGTGACAAGGAGATGCAGGAAATAGAACTGTTCCTTGTTTGTACCACATCTGGCAAAACCAGAGCGTGATCTCAATAGTGGTGTCCAGATAATAAAATGGAGGGAAAAACAAACTATGGAAAAGGTTAAGAATGTGGTTGCACAACACCACCATGCCATGTGTGTGCACAGCCTCAGCTCATGCTACACAAGGACACTAGATGACTCTTAAATTCCATCTGCACCATCCAGGAAACAGGAATTCAAGATCACCATAAACACCATAACAAAGACAACCACAGAATTGTAATAACAGGATCTGACATGGGCTATCCCAAGATAAATTTTCAGCAGTCCACTGGCCTGTCCAGGGTTATTTCTGATACCATACTCATAAAGAAATAAAAAAGCTGAACTCTGTGGGCTAAAAATATTAAAATCTCCACCACTTCTAGCGGATGACTCCAAGAGCAACCCATATCCACAGAACCCTGGGAGATTATGGAAAATTGCAAACAATTTCTTGGATTTTTTGTTTGGTTTGATTTTTTTAGGGAGTTAAGGAAAGGAAAAAGAAAGCATTACCTATACAGCACAGCGACTAAATAAACAACGAGGCGAAGCAGAACTCCAACTACGAGAGCATAAGGAGGCAGGAGGGGTCCAGGGGTTGTCATGTCCGTGGGCCTGGCCCTGGGGGGACCCCGAGGGCTGACCATGACCCCTGAGGGGGATAAAGGAGCACTCTAGCTCTAAGTTAGACAGCAATATTCTCCAACCTTTGCCAGAAAGGATCGTAGTCTTCGTCTTCCCTGTAGCGCTCCCTGGGACTTCTGTTTTTTAAGACCCTGAAGTAGATAAACTGTGCTGCAAAATTCATGGTAACTCCTGGTGCAAAGCAAAGCTGGGACACTGCTGGCAGGGGACACACTTGCCTGTGAGAAGTGTCAGCCCTGCACTGCTGGGTGGGAAATAGCAGGCAGTGTGCTGTAAGCAGCTCTCAGGGCTGCCTGGGGGGAGTGCCTTTGAAAGAGATGGCTGCTGCTATTTAAAGAGATTATTTCAGAGCCCAACCTGTCCTTGTCAATTTGAGTCAGGGCCTGGATTATGCCTGGGTGACGCTCTGTTAGCAGGACACTTGGAGCTTTAGTTACTTACTGCTTAGCTGTGGAGCATGATCCCCACCAGCTGCAGGGCCCATGAGTGAGCAGCAGGAAAGGGATGCCAGGCTTGGGGTCTCTGCTGGGATCCTTTCAGGCAACACCAAGGGACATGGCTCCTCATGACTGAGGCACAGAGAGACAGCTCAGCTTGTGTGGGTCTTCTCTTGGCACAGGTCCCTGCAGCAGAAAAATACGGGCATCTAGATCATAAAGAACAGAAGAACAGAAAACACCATCTAGGGGAAGGACTGTAGCAAGTTAGCTATATCTTTGTACATATCTGTTCTATTTTTATATATATATATAGGGTTTATATATCTATAAATGCCATCTAAATCTGCTTTTCTTTGCCCTGAGAGAGCACTAGCAAAGGCAGAGTCACAGTTCCAGATACAGAATGGCTGTGCAGCAGGGATGGGGCAGAGGTCATTTTGTGGTTCCTCTCCTCTCAAATATATTCCTGATGCCTCCAGACTGCCTGGAGATGAACCAGGTATCTATTTCCAAGTATGAGGTGGCCCTCAGTACCCTCTGCTTTCTACTGAGACCATACAAAATCCTAATCTCAAAGACAGAGAACAGGCATGTAATGAAATCTAACCCAAGCTGTGACCTAACTCTCCCCACAGGATATCATGAGAAATACTATAATCAGATTTATATGGGAGAGTCAAAATAAATGCTCACATAGTCTTCTGGGATCTCTGGAAAGTCTGAGCTGTACTGGTGGAGCCTTCCCTACACTGGTGTGGCAGGCAGGCCCATGTTCTCTTGACTTCATGTTGATGAAGCTCCAGATTCACCGTTTTTTCCAGTTTCTCACACACAGACCCCTTTTATTCTTTCTTTTCCAGGTGGTGGATGTGCAGGTCGTGGTGGTGCCATGTGCTACAAGCAGCCACAGCCCAGCAGCACGCTGCTGCCAGGGGAGATGGGGAAGGAATGCACTCAGCTGCTGCCAGCACTTGCAGCCCCACAGCCAAGTCACCTTCAGCCAACTTCACTGCTGCCTTGAAGGGCAGAGGGAAGGCAGGGGGAGTTACCACTCTGCTCACAACACAGCTGAGTGCAATGGTGGGCAGGAAATGGAACTTTGTAGCAGTGGAAATGGCAATTCCTTTGGCTCTTGGCTATCTGGGCGTCCAGATGCGCTCAAACCCTGACACGAATTGAGTTCCTCACAAACAAGGCTTGATCTGTGACTGACACTTGGACCACATGGGTGAAAGGACTGCTGGGACCATTTGGTCAAGAAGCTGGAAAAAAATTCACCAAGCTGTTGCATGACAGAAGTACATGAAGCACTGAATTGCTATCCTTGTAAACACTCCCAAACAAGCAGCCAGCTATAGAAAAAGGATCTTTGGGAATTTCTGCTGCAGATTTCAGCCCATGTCAAACATTCTTTCAAAGCCCTTGCCACTTCCAAACCTGTTCACAGTGCTTTAAAACATACCACAATTACCACAGGAAGGAAAAACTAGCTTTCAGCTTTGATTTTTTCTTTTGTATGGGTGGAAGGAAGGGGTAAGTAAGATACAATTGCAGTGCTGGTACAGTTAAGTGATATCTAACACAATTGCAATGAAACTGTCAAAGATACTAAGTTACAGGTCACCCAGGAGATGACATTTCTTTTCAAATCCAGAGTTTCTTACTTCCCTCCAAGCTGCTCTTTGGTGGGTCCTAAGGGAAGGAAGCCAATGCCTCAGTGCTCTATAGCTTTCCAAAGGTTTCATTTACAACTTCCATGCTGCCACCAGTCACACTTTGTGTGTTTGTGCAAGGAAATCATCCTTCATCTCTGCCCAGCTTTAGGCTGAGACCTCAGTAAAACCAGACTTGGTCAGAGGCACTGTGTACATCAGAAATGGCAATTATTGGGAAGTGGTTTTATCCACATCATAATAAAATATTATCTTGTACTTAGACAATTTTGAGTCCAAAGAAAAAAATAAACCACACAGTTAAATCAATAAAGAGAACTGAAATACAGTGTTCATGTGCTGGTGTGTAAGAAAAAGTAATGTTTAGCACTGGAAAGAATTGGAAAATCCAAATCTCAGAATAACAGTTTTACACTCACCAGGTCATATATAACTGCCAGCCTTCCTCCCTCAGTCCCTGGCACAAAATCCATTTAGAACAGCATAATGTGGAGAGTAACAGCTGCTTCTTTTTCTAGAAAACCTTTTAAACAAGGTTATGCTGCACTTTTCCTGAACTAAAAAATAAAATAGAACCATTTTGCTGTCAGAACGGAAAAGAATGCCTCATTCTCTTGTAACCAGAGAGAACTCAGTTTGGACAGCACTGAGAAAAATAGCTATGGCCATTGTAAATAAGGACTTTATTGAATTACAGGACTTGAAAGATTGTTTTGAAGGGTTAGCCAAGCTTTCCCCTACACTAAATAAAATTAATAACATTTCCAACCTCAGTGAGAACAGCATGGGTGGGAAGTGATAGTCTGTCCAAAGCAGAGAATTCTTTACAGAATTTGATCACTTGCAGAAGGAAAGAGGGTGGAGACAGTCTGCAGTTAAGCCAAGAAAAACAATAAAACTTTCTCAGAGAATAGCAACTCAGAAAACCAAAATTATAATTGAGGATTATGCAACATATTGATGCAAATGTGGTGGTAAACCACTGTGGTAATCAGTATGGATAAAAAATACAGGCAACTCATAAAGAATTGCCAACTAAAAAAAAATAAACCAGAAAGAACAAAAATAAATAGGCACCAAAAAGATGCCCATTTCCTTCTAATTAAAGATACCAATTTAACTCCCATCTCAGTTTCTTCATAAATCAATATTCATAGAGCAGACCGAAGTTTCGGTCCCAAGTGTTTATATTTTTATTTGTTTACATTTGTCCGCAGCTGACCCACAACAGTAAAATATCACATTCCCATTTACTATCTTTAGGGATCTCAGAAAAGGCTGACAAGGTAGATTCAAATCAGTGGAAACAGAAGTAGCTTCCCCAAGCTGGATTTCACAGAGCCTGAAACAAAGCGCAGGCATCAATTCAAAGAACATATTTGCTGGAACAAGAGGCAACAGGGAAGCCTGGATGTGCTTTATCTAAAGTTTTGGGACAGACTGTATCTGTTAATGTGGGACAGACTGTATCTGTTTTATGTAAACATTTTGCAGAAAGGATGAGATATTTCTCAAGGCAAAGAGCAAAAGCTTACGTTAGAGTCCAAAAATTATCTCCTTAAAATAGTATCTATATCCATAAGAAGTCTAACACTAAGATGCTGAACCAATAGCATTTGATGAGGAAAAACTGGCGACACAAAGCTTGTGCCTTGCTGTAGCAAAAAAATGTACATTCTCTTCTACTGAGACTAAACTGGTAAGAACCAGCAAAATATTTTGTGCTGCTGTTTGAGATATTTAACATCTTGCTTATCTCAGTTTCAAGTGGTAGGATAACATTTATAATACATGCAGAGGCAGCAGATCAGCATTGCAGATGCATGAAAGTACCCAGAAGTCTATTCTAAGCCACCTCACAAAATCATATTAATGAACAAAGACTGTATCCAGTTATCTTTGAATAACATGAGATCCCTTATGCTCTCACTGGCTCCAGGGGTTTTGCCCATGTGGGTCTAAGGCACTGGTCATGCAGTTATGTTCACACAAAGTGGAAGTGCCCTGGCTGAAGCCCACACAGGGAATCACTGAAAATCCACATTTGATTCTCTGTTCAGAGAACAGCAACTGTGATCAGCTGTTTCACTTCTGCTTTTCCAGACACATTAGACCATCAGAGTGGCACCATATAATTTCAAAGAACTACTGCAATAATATTTTCTCACTAACAGAGATCATCAGGCATTCAAATGGCAAGTGAACGTGAGCTGAAGCACAATTAACGCTGGGGGTTTTTAACAAACTTGACTCCCAAAGGGATGCTGATTTGCCACGAAATAACCACTACAGGATGCTTTCAGAGGCTCACGATGGCTCGGAGGATGCAGGACCCGGCAGCAGTGCAGCACAGACGGCGTTTGTGCTGAGCGGGTCGGTGCCCGCCGGTGCCACTCCCCAGCCCGGGCACGGGCACGGGCCGAGCGCTGCTGCCCCAGCGCGATCAGGGTCAAGTACCAACAGCCGGGGCTGTCACTTTGTCCGAGACACTCAGGGATCCAAATCCTCTGCCCTGCCCGGCCGCTGTGCTAATTAAAACGCTGAACTGTGGGCTGCAGTTCACTGCGCTGTGTCGGGATCAGCGCACCTGGGCTCTGCCCAGCGCTGCCGCGGGAGGAGGAGAGAGGCGCAGCCGCCGCAGCCAAAGGGGGGCAGGAGAGGGAGCGGCCCCCGGTAACCTGGCGGCCAGAAATGGGTCACCTCGGTGCCACCCGAGGGGCAGCCCCCCGGCGGCCAGGGCCCGGGCACACGCGTGTGCCAGCCCGCTCCCCACGGCCCTTGCCCTGCCCCGCCTCGCCCCCGCCTGCTCCCACGCTCTCCTTCCAGCAATCCCAGCAAAGCTGAGCAATCAATTCCCTCCCAGTGGCCCCAGCAGAACACTCTGTGCACCCTGGACTGATATAATTTCCTCTAAATTCAAACCATAGGCTTTTGCCCCATCAGCTTCTCCTAATTCACCTTTTTAATGATGAAGAGATTACTTCAGAATTATTTATAGTATCCTGATGATTCAATTGACTCCTGCCCTCACCTTTGATGCTTCTTATTCCTCGAACACATGCAATGAGCCCTCCATTTACCTTCGACTTTTTTATCCTCTAATCTTGTATTTCCTCTTTTCTCAGGGTTAATGAGAAGAGACGTTAGAGAGTCACCACTGTGAAAGTCATACCTTCATTATTCTGTAGATAGCAAAAGTAGTATTCAAAAAGATAAAAACAGATAGCACTTACAGAAATTAAAATTACAGCATGACATAGATTAATATCTGCATTAAGACATAATATTTCTGTTACTCTTATAAAGAGTTCCAGTGGTGGGTATGAATTAAAGAACATTTGGGACAGATAATATAAAGCGTTTTACTGCATGAGGACAGAACACTGTAACAGAT